CTTCGCAGCTTGGATTGGGGAAGATGGGGTCCTGTACAATGCCTAAAAGACCGCGAAGGCCGCCGAAAAGGACAAAAAGCCACGACCTTGAACTGACCTTGAACCCTAAGCTTGAGCAAGGTTATCTTTGAACTCACACCCACACTCTTGCAGCCATGGTTCATGAGGCGAATAGCCAAAAACCTTTCGGTGACAAAGGAACACTGCCCTCGCAAACATGATCATACCGTGCAAGGGCCCATCTGTGCGGCGGGGGTGAAAGAAGGTCGCCTCACTGGATTTTGCAGGTGCGGGCATGACCTGCTTCGCAAACAATCCGCAAAATGCATCCATATATTGCGGCAATGCATGCCGGTGTACTGGACTTTACACCTAGCAGCCTAGCACCAAACCACACTGTGCCCCTGCCGCTATGGAGCTGCCAGGCCAGCGCAACACAGGGCGCAGGCCTTGAGTAGAATGGAAGGGAACAAAGCTATATACGGTGGTTGCAGGCTTTGCAGTTCATGAGAATAAGGAAACAAGGTGTTGCAGAGCGGGCAGTTTGGAGGCGTGTGAGAGTAGGAAGTCGACTGCCAAGCACAACAGCCGTAACATAGCCGATCACGGTAGCCATTTCCGGAGCGCACGGTCACGCAGAGTTCAACCTCAACCACATCAGAATCTAAACCTCCTTGGAGCACAAACCTTGGCCCTTGCTACTCTGCAGAGCGGCATCGACGTGAGACCCAGCGCTGGCAAGGGTGCAGAAGCCGGAAGCAGGAGGATCAAGGCCCCCGCCTGCCGTGCTCTCGACCGGCTTAAGAGCTCCGGATGGCTTCAAAGCCCACCTTGCGCCTGTGCCTCCCTGTTTCAGCATGGGGGGGGGGGGGTGTTAGGGGGGTCCAAGAAATAAGATCCGTGTTTTCGCATCCGCCCCGTGAAGCTCTAAGGGGCAGTGCTAGGCGCCTCAAAGCCCCAAAGCCCTCTAAGCCCATAAGTACTTTTGAAAAATCCCACTCCTCCCTTAGGTTAAGCCGCGTAATTAAGTGCTTTGTAGCTCCGGCTCCCCTCTAAGGACGATACGGCACGCAATCGGCGCGAGATTGAAGTCGCACCCTGAAACGAGGGTCAGGCCCTAGGCAGTACGTTATATGGAGAAGGGACGCCCAGGATGAGCACCGGCCTCCAGCACCATGTAGTCCCAAACGTACCAGAACTCTCCTTCAAGGCGAAAAGATTCAGGAGATGTCGTGAGGCTACTTGTGGGATTCGATGTGAACATTGGAGCGTCTGTGGCACCCTTATATACCCTTTGCACAGGCTAGTGGATTGCATACAACTCCTGAACTGGACATGAGCTTTGATGCCTCCTGAATAAGATCCTTCTTCATGCCCCAAAAATCCGCAGCACCCTGAGTTGGCACTATCCTGCGACCGCCAGAGACTGAAGGCAGACTCGTGCGACGAGGAGGCCCCACCACCCTCGTGCGGGGCAGAGTTGCCGACTTAGCGTCTTTGCGGCGCAGTTTGCAGCTTGCCGCACTTGCGCCACGCCCTTCTACACACACGTGTAAGTGTACATGTATGTAGAGACAGATGGATTCAGATGATATAGCAAGGATGTTGCTGCAAATGCTGCAACGTGGTATGACATGACATGCGAAGCATGTCCCTGCTGAACGGATCACCTTCGGTTCACACATGATGAAACCTTTTGAAACCATCAAGTCGTTCATTAAGGTGGTTGGGGGAAGGGGGCGGGGAAGGGGGGTGGGAAGGGGGGGGAAGGGGGGGGAAGGGGAGGGAAGGGGAGGGGGGGGGGAGGGGGGAAGGGGGAGGGGAAGGGGGGAAAACAAGTTCGGACCTGCATCGTGACCCGTGCCCGGTCGAAGAAAAAGATTGCTTCTCCTGGTTACCAAGGAGCCTGCTAAGCCACCGCATATGGCAAGGAGGCCAGCGAGAAGACCTGGGGCTCCACGAAGCATTTCTAGCACCAGAGAGGTGCCTACGCGCCAACTCTGCCAGGCAGAGAGGGATCATCTCAGGGCCGTGCCAAGCCCGTTCAGGCCCACTAGCATGGCATCGCTGTCGTCCAGCCATAGCAGCGTCCTCGGATCGCGAGCAACGCCAAGGCCACACATTCTCAGAGCCGACGTCTGGGGCACCAGTCACTAGTTGCTCTTGATACAGCATTTTCTTTCCGAGGCTCGGGAAGTATAGAACCTTCCGGTAGCCAGGAAAGTCCTGGCTTTGGCACACTGAGCGGGGCTAGAAACCTTGCAGACTCGAGCTGGACACTGCGCCTGTCCTAGTTCCTATCCTTTGGGTTTCATGTGTCTCGTCAGCAAAAACCCTTCGACGCACCTGACAAGCACACGGCAAAAGATCTCAAGCGTTGTGCTCTGGGCTTCGTCCCCAAGCCGGCCTTGCTTGCCCTCGCCAGCAAATCGGAAACCGGAGAGATGCCTTTCCTGGCACAAAAGATCGGCTTCCGGGGCAGTAGGCCACACAAATTCCGGAGCTCTTTCATTCCATCCATCCGACATCCAACCCCAAAGGCCAGCTGAACACACTCCCAATGAGGCCAAGCATCTTCCCGCAAAGCGGCACAACCTCCACATGTGCGCAGGACCCGTCTGATCAGAACAACATGCATCTCATCCAACTTTACCCCTTCCAAAGCCGCTGTAACTCACATCAGTCCGCCGGATTACACGTCACTGCATGGATGCTTCTGGCGAGAATTCGCCTGAGAGGCTGCTAGAACAGACTCCTTCCCAACCCTTGCCCCCCCCCCCGTCCTGTCTGGAAGAGCCAATATCCGATGCCGCATGAAAAATTCGTCATCTGGGACCCCGGGGGTCTAAGACGCCAAACCCTCCCCTTGCAATCTGTCCCCTGACACCCTTTGAAACCCTCCCCTTTGGACCCCGCCTGAACCTCTCCTAGGACCGTTGCGCGTGCAAACGTTTACAAATACACATCAGCGGATAGTTCATAATTTTAAAGCCTTTGTGAACCCTGCGTGTCGTTCTCAACGTGTGAAACCGTTAGGAAGCTAACGCATCGCAACCTCTCAACAAAGGGTTCGCAAACATGGGGCTAGGCCGCAAGTGACGCTCGCGCCCGAAGTGTCACATTCCCTTACGCGGATGCTCCCAGATATGCGCATTTCTTCCAGGCAATGTGAGGTGAAGAGACTATTGCTTCCGCTACAGATACAGAATCGTTGAAACATGTTGAAACCACTCTTCGGACCCTGACAAAGCATGAAGACATGATGCAAGCTTCATGGGATGATCTTCTTGGCCTGGTGGTGAAACGACGCAAAGACCATGACATAGACCAAGCCATATCCTGAGTTTCAAGTCAAGTTCCCAGCGATGCGTATATAGCTTGCAACTCACACCTCGCGCGTGCGCCCTTCGAATTTATTCCATGAACCCACCCGTAAGCCTGTCAAAACACGAACAGCCTCTGAACATAATGAGTCTGTTCACACACATGCCCAATCAATAAACAAATAGAGCATGTGCTAAAATATACACATATCTGTGTGTGTGCTTGCGTGCGTTCGTGCGGGTTTATTTACCTATACACGATATGTGCACATATACGATGTAAACACAAACTGTCATGTGCCTGGGATGAGAACATTGAACATCGGCAGAGGGATGGGGTGAACCTTGTGGGGTGATTGTCCGTTATATTAAAGCCGTCAACGCCAACTCCCTGCGCTGCCGGGTCTCCTTTAGAGACCAGCCCCCAGGCGACTTCCGCCTTTCACGGATGCAACATGTAGTCCGTTGTAGCACATGCCTTCTCGTTTAGCTTGCCGAAGAGAGCCTATACTTGAGATATCTTGAGATCAATCGCAACTTTAAGGGCAGGATGATTTAATGGTGGCCTGGCCACTTGGCCTCAACAACTCGTTTGTGGTACACTCAGGGCATTTCAGAGTGCCTGACCAGATGTTTTGTGTATTTCACTACCTGGCCCAAGGGTCATGGCGTGCCCCTGCAAGGTGAGCGACCGGCATGTGTAAGCAAGCTGCAACCTGAACAAACTTAGTCTCTCAGACTCTAGCAGGATATTGAAGATTGGCGTAGCTGATCCACGCCAAGTAAAAGAAATCCCTGCCATGGCACCGAAACACTCACGTCTGCAAGGAGATCCTCCTGCCATAGGAGAGGGGCTTTGAAACGAGAAAACCATCCTCCCCTGCATCTGTTGCATCTGTGGGCAAAGACTATGTTGGACTCGCCAATTCTAAGCCCGCACCCCCGTCCAGGAGATGGTTGCTCAGCTGTACAGTGGCCAGCACAAAACACCTTGGCACATCAGGAGTCAGAAGTGACCGCATCCTTTCACGGCATCCTTCAACCACCGGATGGGCGACCGTGGGCGCCAAGCCACAGGACAATGAGCAGGCGCACACCCACCGATTCGATGATGGGAGCCATTCGGCCTGGCGCAGACTGTCGGTTGTGTTGCGAAAATGAATCCCCGAAAGGCTCGTCTGGTGACAGGTGGGTTCCGGCCGATCATATCCCAGAGCAGCTTCCTCTTGACCCCTACAGTACAATCTAAGCCTTGCCATGCCGTGCCCGTCTCTGTGTTCAAAGTTGCCAAGGGGCGTAGGGAAGTGGCTCCGCTGCCAGCGGCCCAGAGAGCACGTGAGCGATGCGGATGGAGCAAACGTTACAGGGGCGCTACCAGCTTCCACCCAAAGAAATCAGACTTACAAGATTATGGCAAAACTAGTTGACTAGTTTCACTGTATAGGTGAAGTTTGTACTCCCGCCTTCCAAGTCTTGAGTTATGGGACGCTGAGACCGCTGAGACCGCTGAGACCACTGAGACCGCTGACCAGAGTAGACATGAGAAGCTACCTACACGACGAGCTATTAAGCCGCAAGCTCGATCAGACCAGAATCACTCACGAATGACCGCCCTAATCACCGAATCCTGAAGCCGACGGTTTCTGGACCCTCGATCATCTGACTGGGGCCAAGTTCTGGAGTGCATAGCCCATCTTCGTGACAAGGGAAAGCTGGCACAGCAGAAACCTCATCGGTGCTGGCTGCAGCAAAACTGCAAGCTTTCGGGATTGTGGCTTGGCTTTCGACTGGGTTGCTGGCTCTCGTTTCTAAAGCCGCAGCTACCACGCCGATGCCCCATTGAGCCAGGCACGTTAGTGCTGGCCACATACTTCTCGGCTCCAGGGTACCGATCCTCAGTGAAAACGCATCCTGCTCAGGGGAGTCCAATTTGCTCACGCGTTGTTCTGCCACAGGCTCGTAACACGGGAAGTGAAGAACCGGCACCACCATGGCCTCTCAGTGGGCGCAGGGTATTTCTAATCAGCCCTATCCTCGGTAGAAGACGCAGAGACGGAACCACCTCCACATCATCGGCCTCCGTGGCGCCTGGCGGGATGGCTCCAAATAAGGCCACAGTGCACCTACATCTGTGACCTGCACCTGTCCTGTATATGTCAGCCCAACGAAGCTCCACTGAAGCAGGAGAGCCTTCTGCTGCCACGGCTGAGTCATCGGCGAGCTCGGTACTTGGCCGCAGCTGAACGCTCAGCTTTGACGGGACGTTGGGAGTGGAGCGGGGGCAGCAGTTCAGACACGGATAGACACGGGCACAAACCAATCCACAACGCAGCGGGCAGAGAAAGCATTGAACATGGTCGCAAGCATGGATGGGCGGCAAGGGGTGCCAACTCTGCAGACCGGCATGCACACCTTGTCGTTAACATCCGACTTCTCTAGGGTAAAACACAAACACACGAAATCCCAACACCCAGTAGTGCAGACGTGGCTGGGCCTTCCTGAACCTGAACGAGAACCATCGAGCCAGAACCCTTCAACGAAATTATGAGCCACAGAAATCCCGCCCATGAACAAGCGAAGAGGCCCTGCCCGAATCAGGCGAATCTGGCATGATAGTACATCCAGTTCCCGGGCGACCTCAGCAGTGCGCAAGCTTGGCTGCGGTAGCGGGGAGATGTTTGCGCTATCAAAACACGGCGGCTGCACGACACCACAACGTGTGGAGAACTCAAAGCACACACACACACACATTGTAGACCAACAAAGGCCGCTACCAGTGGGATTTTTGATGACACTACTCTACTTCCCTACACCCCGATGAAGCACAGAGAGGGCCCGTCGCCTCCTCTCGCAGCTGTGATGCCAACGCAGGGGCAGCGAGCTGAAAAGACAGCCGCGCCTGAGACCATCACATTCTGGATCAAACTGCCTGGCTACCACAGCACCACCGGTCATCAGAATGACATTGAAGCAAACACATCAAACACGTGACGGAGCCAATTGCTTTAGGGGCCGAACCCCCCCCCGGTAATGCTCCAGACAAACAAACTCATGGTCACATGGGCTCTGTAACGCAGCAGAGGGCACGCTGCTCAGCAAGGAGACGGCCACAGCGACCATTAGCTGCGAACTGTTGGCCCGAAAGCTGACTGGGTGTAATCGGCAAGGCACCACTCAACCTTCGGGCTCCTCTGAGTGTCGCCTAGCCTTGCTGTGTTGTTTCTGCTGCACGACTGCACAACGTTACGCTGCTGGCGCGCACATGGCAGTTCTCAAGCCCCAAGCTTGAGCCCTCGCCAACCTCATGGGCCCCTTTACCACCAGTCGCCATGTGCGCTGAGGATGTGTCGTGAACCCTGAGTCAAGCATCGCTCTACGGCAACCCACATGCTGCGCGACGAGATGCTGCTGCCTAGCTAGGCCTACGCAAGTCCGCACACTTGTGGTTCATGTTGGTGCTGCGTGAAAAATACTGAAGCTGCACAGCTCGATGTCTCAGATAATCTGTATGCAAGCATCAAACTTGTGGACATCGGCCTCGACAAGCAGGAAAACTGGTAGACATGAAAAGGGCATGGGACGGTTTAGGATTTTAGATAAACACTACATACACAAAAGATGGGCAAAGGGGCTAGGCCCGTGAAAGTGCAACAAAAAATCTGTCTAAACAACCCTAAACCTTCAGACGACTAACGAGAAACAAACATGGAGTGCCTATTGGAGTATACATCCACCCGCTTCACACGCGTTCCATTGAAACTATGAGCCACAACCAAACCCCTCAAATCTACGCACGGCGCCCCGGCAGGTGTTACTCCGCAGCATCTGGGCACCGAAGTGCCGCCCGAGTAACACCCCTGACCGTCTTGTAGGGAAGTACACAGTTCCGTCAATTATGCATTTGGCTGCCTTGGATACGGTTTTACCCACAACTCGAACTGTGAACTCCCCTAAAATAATGACCATGCAACGCGGCTTCCGAGACGAGGAGGTACGAGGCAGAAATACCTCATACGTGCTTACTCCAAAATTCCTAGGCCTGTCCGACCTCAAGACCATCTACCAGAGTCACCAAAAAATTTACAACCCTACGCTACACGAAGAACTGCCGCTCGCACTCTCGTCTCGGAAGCACGCTCAAATTAAAGAAAGATATATGAAAGGCACAGTCTGCCGCGTGCAAGAAAAGGAGAAAAACAACCATGGAGCACTTCAAACGGCTCCGTGAAAAAATGGGATCTTCGTCCTTAGAGGTAAAGGATAGATATGTATAGGTTTTAGAGATTCAGAGTTCAACCACAATGAATCCAGCAGTATCAATACCCAACAAAAACACTAAATGTGAGAGAAAAAACAGCAGAAGGATTAAAAATGCAAAGGTGGAGCTCTTCAAATGGCTCGCAACTATGAGCGCTTCAAATGGCTCATGAAGAGATGAGGGCGATGGAGAATGTGTATATTTTTGTAATGTAGAGACAAAAGTAATCTTGAATGAGCCGGCTACGTCAGGAACCCCGAGAAAATAACCTATATATAAGAAAAAGCGCGCCCTCACAACAATTACTCAAAGTGAGAGGAGCACCCAGCGCCGGTTTAACCGCTCCCTGGGGCTCAGCCAGCGGCAGCCATGGCCAGCTGGCGTGGGAGGTGAAACGGTCCAATTGCCGAGGTGGCTCGGGGCCCTGGTATCGGCGTCCACCAGCACCACCTGAGGATCAAGGAATCCCTGGGTGTTTTCAATGAAACAGCCAGCAACGTCGCGACGCCTCGTCGCCAAATCTGCGGACCAGAGTCGTCCACACGACCCTTTGGCCTGGGGAGTGCTACAAACGTTAGTACTTTAAAGAACTATCTTCTAAGCACGTTGCGCAGGCAAAGGTCAATGAGCGGCACCGGGGTCCGTGCCAAGCCATTCAAACTCGGCGTCCACCGCCTGAAGGCTAGATCAACCCTACCACGTCCGTATTTGGCGTTCTGAGACGGGAGACTCTAAGAGCATGACGGGTTCTCCCGGCAGCGCCTCCTGAGCTAAAGCGGGTTGAAGCCAGTGCTCGACGTGGTCGTTTGGGATTTTGAAACTCTAAGATCAGAACCGTAGCAACCGGCGCCGCATCCAGGGCACGCTTAGGGTTCGGTATGCTAGAACCGACCAGTTCCGTAGCCTCACATCATGGCACAGTTCCAAAAACAAACACGGTACCACCAAGCACCAGACAGGCAAGGCAGCGGTATCCACAGCAAGAAGCCTTGCATGTTTTTGTTTTCTGCGAAGCTGCTCAAGAACGAGGTCGCCCAGCACTCATCCGCACGCGAAAATGGCGGCCTGGCATGTCCAGACTGCATGAGCCTTGATTTGAGGCTCACCATGACTTCCTTCGCCCGCTTCACATGGAGCCGTGTCTGCGCACCCCTGCCTCCGTTGCTGTTCTGCTTGCCACCCCTATTGGCAAAATCCCAACGAGTCCTCTGACACTCATTCGTTCACAGGGCACCCTGCAAAAAACGCGCAGCCGTGTGCAGCCCAGGACCACCTGCGGCTGCAGAGTTCCACTGCGGTCACATGCTGCGGCCTCAGTGGGAGGAGCGACTTTTACAGAAAGCGGTCGTACAGTAGCTCGCTCCCCGGCCCGAAGCTCCAAGCCCCTAAAAGCATGCACGAATCGTACACCCTTCCTGTGAAATTGCGGGCGGGAGTAGAAGTTCTGTCGCATGAAGAAGGTCTATCTACTTCTGGACGAGGGCTGCTGAAAGACTACCCGTAGGGCTTGAGCCCTGCATTCCTGATTCCAGCCCACTTTTCCTTGCGGTACATGAATCATATACGCGTGCGAAGACGGTGCAGCACTTTCTGCCAGCAGGTGTGGCGTGAGTTCCTTTTAAATAGGACCCACTACTCATTCAAACACCGGCAAACCGCAGCAGCAGAAACCATTGTGGTCATCTGAGCGCTGCCTCCCGAACTTTGAGTGCTTCAGAAGTGCTTCAGACCAAAGGATGGGCTGTCCACACTCCGTGCAGCCTGGGCCCACACGATGGCAGGTACATTGCTCATGGAAACAGGGAGAGACTTCAAAACTCTCTTGTGAAGTCCTCTTCAGAAATGCCAAAGCACAACGCAGCCTGACTTTAAAAGGCTGCCTCACGCCTCGACTGTAAAAGGGAAGCAGTGGAACTTGAGAAACGCGAAGCGACGTGGGCTGCACAAACCCTCTAATCGGGTTTCTGCAGCTGTTGTCTGCGTGATTGCACTTGGGTCACTATGCAAGATTATGAAAATGAGATTGTCCGATCTGTCACTTGACATGCCTAGCTCAAGTCTCCTGGCCAAGGAAGTGCAACCACCCTTGCCAATCCAAATGTGCTTATGCCTTGCATTTGCCCTTGAAAGCTCGACCTTCACTGCAAGGCATTGGCCTACACAATGCACACCCGAATTCGCGTGGAGATCTCAGACCATTCACATAAATTCACATAGTAGAGCAAGAGTCACAAGAGGCGCCTGCACAAGGGCGCGGCCATCGACGCCATACTGCTATACTTTGCGGCTGAACTCAGAAAATTCGTATACTAACTACGACCCACGCCACGGCCACGGTGCCTCGCGACGCTGCAACTGCGCCCAGCTGCACGGTGATCTCCTCGGCCGAAGGTCCTGAAAGCTTGACAGCTTAGCCAACCGGCCAACCGCCCCTTCTTTCGAAAATCTGTCAGCATTGCCAATACCGAACCTGAACCTGTGGGCCCCTCATCTTGTGCAACAAAAGGGAATCAGAGACCTCTCCACGGCCTGTTCTCCGCCGCCAAGGGACGAAGGAACTTGTCCGTCTGCCAGCACGGCTCAATGACACCTGACCCATGGCAAGGGCTGACAGTATCTGAGAGCGGCTCTTTGCGTGCACGACAAGCCACGGCAGCATGCGGAGATCATGTCACTTCCATCGATGCGGTGGCGGCATGTTAGCAACATCGTCCGGTTCCCACCTCGAAGGATTTTGGGGCAGTCAGAGATGAGCGGACGTGGCTCCTTTTTCTGGCAGTACTGCTGGAGGATCACCTCTCACTGTCACACTCTCGCAGGTCGCATATATCGCAGCTGCAAAAGGCACTGAGCAGTTGAGTGGGTCTGCTGGGCGAGCTTGCAAAAGAAACCTGTTCACACAACCATCCCGCCGCCTCCGGGTCAAGAGTGATGTGGTGGAAAGGGCGCTTCCCAGAGCTGATGTAATACCTATGGAAGCTCAGTAAAAAACACGAGCGAAGCTGACGGGCGCCAGGGTTTCCGCAAAAAAACGCGCCAAATCCAAGTTGCATGATCAAGCCGTAGGAGTAGACGTCAACCTGTGGCGACGAAGGCACGCCGATCTCAAAGCACTGAACAAAGAAGTCTTGGAGGAGCTAAATGAGGCGGCCGCGACATGTAACGGCGAACGCTGGCCGGTCAAGGCATGCCATGGCTACCAGGGGAGGTACCAGAGACTCAGAGAGTGCACCATGCGTGTCACGAGGCCTTCTCGTTGTACTCCTCGTACCGCACAACTTCTGGGGCCATGTACAAGTAGCTTCCCACACCGCCCGTCATTGTATGCTGCTCATTCTCCATTGTCGACATCATCTTGCCTGCCATCGCTCACACATGGATCAAGGTCGTGCGCCAACGCTCATAGGGGCGTGCTCACCGGGAGGTTGTGCACAGAGTTTTGGTTTTCACGGCCGTGCGAACAGCCGAAACAAGTGAAAAGATGAAAGCGTGGCTGCTTGTGGCGAGCTGCTTATCCCAAAATCCGTCATCTTCAAGTCGAGATTTTTGGTGAGCAGCAAGTTGAGCGGCTTCAGATCTCGATGCACGATGGGTACCTGGCTTGAAGGCCGATGTCTTGGCTGAGTGGGGGGCACCAACACCAACCTCTGCCGGTCAAGCGTTTGGCAGGCAGTTCTTTCGGGGAAGGTTCACCACTGCGTAGAATGCCGCCGAGAAGCTGCGAAACCATGCAGAAAAGCCAGAGCGCGGCCAATGGCACAAGACCAATCTACCTTTCGAAAGGGATTCTGGCATACCCTCACTCGAACAGAAGCGAAAGTCGTGCAAAATCTGGACGGCTATTGGTTGTCGCCCTTGCTGAATGTGCTGTGCGGCCGGAATGCTACGTAGCCTACACAACAGAATTGGGGCTTGCTCTGCCCGTTGCTTCACGGAAGAGGCCCTTCCATCCCACGACGAGCGACCATGCGCCACAGAGGCGGCTTCCAGGCAGCGACCTGGCTCGCATGCTTGAAGATTTTTCTGGCGCTTCGTTACCGGCCGCTCGCTCCAGCCTGATGCTTCTCCCGCATGTTGCACATAAAGTGCTCGAGATCACCTCTGCAGAGTGTGTGGGCTGCATTCGCAGTGCATGCACATGGAACAACGCACGCATGGGAGTTGCGACGAGATGCCTCCACCCATGAACTCAGACACAAACCTCGTAGCCAGGCGCTTGTCGTGATTTCGATCTTGATCACCACTTGACAATGTGCAATGCCACACTCTGCTGCACTTCACCAAAACATGGCCATCTCAAGAAGCACGATGCAACTTCAGTGAGTTTGCGAAGTCCCCATCTCGCTGCCCAGAAGCATGATCGGATAGTTCGGGTGCAAGCAAGCCCCCAGGAACAGCACCACATCCTGCAAAGGAAGAAATTTCCTGGTGTTGCATACGATATTGTGAGGATACCCTAGCCCTCAAAAGGGAGGTTTTCAGACGGCAGCACCCTGAACCCTAGAATGGGGATCTTGGCTTCGAAACTCGAAAACCTAGAGATGTTGACAAACTCTCTGCCTGCAAACCCATGACATAAAGATTGCAAAACGAGATGTTCGGTGTCAAACGATACTAAACCCCCAAAGGCGATCTGGAGTTGCAAGCCCTAAACAAGCCCAAACCTTTGAAAGAGATGCTGGGTGGCAAACCATAAAACTCAACAATACATGTGAGGTGGCAAGCTGCGAACCTGTGGAAAACCACATGACCCAAAAAGATATACTGCAGGGCAAAAACCCGATACCGCACGTGATTCCGATGTTGAACGGTAGAGGGGCATGCCTGGGCCTCACCTGAAACGCTGACCCATAGCGCATTCAACCACAGAGCAGCGAAGAAATCGCGACTACGACTTCAACACTTAGAACACCTCAACACTGCAACATGAGCCAGTGTCTAGGAGTCTAGAGCAAGATGGGATGTGCGGCGAAAGAGCCCGGGTTCAAGGGCGCACCAACAACGTGGTCGACATCTGACATGCTCAAGCTACGGTTTTGGAAGTGTCCGGGTGGCGAAGAGAAGCCAGAAGCTGAATTTCATGAAGGAGTTCCTGGCAGCCACATCAGGCCCAGGGTGCTTGCAACGGAAACGGTTGTCAACGCACATAGCGAAGCAGCTTGTTAGCATTCGGAATCTGCAAAAAACTATGAGAACATATGGGACCCCAACGGACTGCAGAAGAGGCTCTTCTGTGATGTCGGCTTCTGAGACTTCTGAGTCGTCATCCTCAAGCACAACATAACTGACGCATGCGAATCCAGGTGCCTTACAGTGGCTCGGGTTCACCATGGTTTCCGGCCCGTTCCACGACAGGGCATGTTGATTTCTGCACTCTCATGCTGTCATGGAGTATGGAAGGCAATTCAACAAATTTGTGCGACCGCATTTCCAGGCCGGGCTTGACAACACCAACCACGACGCAGGGCCCGCACAGCTCGCGATATCATTGCACCATCCCACAGGCGCAAAAACAAATAAAAAAACATATCAGACTTGAGGCACCCTCAAGACTTCTACAGTCAACTAGGCCATGCTTGAGAAACCAGTTTTGGACAGCTTAACAACTCATGCCTACGTTCTTTCTTTCCGATCCGACAGAGGGATCGCCTGGAGTTTGGGAGGTTGTTCAGGAGGCGAGCAGCGCACGAAACAGCTACATCAACAACTTCTCAACAATAGAGACAACTTGAGCGACAAGTGGCAGAAACTGTACTTCGATATTGGGAGCACTCTCCGTTAATTTCGGGCTTGGCTGCTCTTGTGCCTGCCACCATGCCTTCATGCCTTCCCTCCTTCCCTCCTTCCCTCCTTCCCTCCTTCCCTCCTTCCCTCCTTCCCTCCTTCCCTCCTTCCCTCCTTCCCTCCTTCCCTCCTTCCCTCCTTTCCTCCTTCCCTCCTTCCCTCCTTCCCTCCTTCCCTCCTTCCCTCCTTCCCTCCTTCCCTCCTTCCCTCCTTCCCTCCTTCCCTCCTTCCCTCCTCCTTCCCTCCTTCCCTCCTTCCCTCCTTCCCTCCTTCCCTCCTTCCCTCCTTCCCTCCTTCCCTCCTTCCCTCCTTCCCTCCTTCCCTCCTTCCCTCCTTCCCTCCTTCCCTCCTTCCCTCCTTCCCTCCTTCCCTCCTTCCCTCCTTCCCTCCTTCCCTCCTTCCCTCCTTCCCTCCTTCCCTCCTTCCCTCCTTCCCTCCTTCCCTCCTTCCCTCCTTCCCTCCTTCCCTCCTTCCCTCCTTCCCTCCTTCCCTCCTTCCCTCCCTCCCTCCCTCCCTCCCTCCTTCCCTCCTTCCCTCCTTCCCTCCTTCCCTCCTTCCCTCCTTCCCTCCTTCCCTCCTTCCCTCCTTCCCTCCTTCCCTCCTTCCCTCCTTCCCTCCTTCCCTCCTTCCCTCCTTCCCTCCTTCCCTCCTTCCCTCCTTCCCTCCTTCCCTCCTTCCCTCCTTCCCTCCTTCCCTCCTTCCCTCCTTCCCTCCTTCCCTCCTTCCCTCCTTCCCTCCTTCCCTCCTTCCCTCCTTCCCTCCTTCCCTCCTTCCCTCCTTCCCTCCTTCCCTCCTTCCCTCCTTCCCTCCTTCCCTCCTTCCCTCCTTCCCTCCTTCCCTCCTTCCCTCCTTCCCTCCTTCCCTCCTTCCCTCCTTCCCTCCTTCCCTCCTTCCCTCCTTCCCTCCTTCCCTCCTTCCCTCCCTCCCTCCTTCCCTCCTTCCCTCCTTCCCTCCTTCCCTCCTTCCCTCCTTCCCTCCTTCCCTCCTTCCCTCCTTCCCTCCTTCCCTCCTTCCCTCCCTCCCTCCTTCCCTCCTTCCCTCCTTCCCTCCTTCCCTCCTTCCCTCCTTCCCTCCTTCCCTCCTTCCCTCCTTCCTCCTTCCCTCCCTCCTTCCCTCCCTTCCCTCCTTCCCTCCTTCCCTCCTTCCCTCCTTCCCTCCTTCCCTCCTTCTTCTCCTCCCTCCTCCCTCCTTCCCTCCTTCCCTTCCCTTCCCTCCTTCCCTCCTTCCCCTCCTTTCCCTCCTTCCCTCCTTCCCTCCTTCCCCCTTCCCTCCTTCCCTCCTTCCCTCCTTCCCATCCTTCCCTCCTTGCCTCCTTCCCTCCTTCCCCCCCTTCCCTCCCTCCCTCCCCTCCTTCCCTCCTCCTTCCCTCCTTCCCGCCTTCCCTCCTTCCCTCCTTCCCTCCTTCCCTCCTTCCCTCCTTCCCTCCTTCCCTCCTTCCCCTCCTTCCCCCGTCCTTCCCTCCTTCCCTTCCTCCCTCCTTCCCTCCTTCCCTCCTTCCCCCTCCTTCCCCCTTCCCTCCTTCCCTCCTTGCCTCCTTCCCTCCGTCCCTCCCCGCCCTCCCTCCGTTTCCCTCCTTCCCTCCTTTCCCTCCTCTCCCTCCTCTCCCTCCTCGCCCTCCTCTCCCTCCTCTCCCTCCTCTCCCTCCTCTCCCTCCTCTCCCTCCTCTCCCTCCTCTCCCTCCTCTCCCTCCTCTCCCTCCTCTCCCTCTCTCCCTCCTCTCCCTCCTCTCCCTCCTCTCCCTCCTCTCCCTCCTCTCCCTCCTCTCCCTCCTCTCCCTCCTTCCCTCCTTCCCTCCTTCCCTCCTTCCCTCCTTCCCTCCTTCCCTCCTTCCCTCCTTCCCTCCTTCGCCCCTCCTTCGTTCCTTCGTTCCTTCGTTCGTTCCTTCGTTCCTTCATCCCCTACACAGAAGCATTGTCTTTTCCTCAAAGTCGTGTTGTCTAGATTCAGCAACGAAACGACAGGGCTCGATTTGATTGACAGAAGGTGCAGCTTGAGACTTGAAAAATTGGCTTCTTGAGGCTGTGAGGAGGACCTTGCTGAAATCCACAATCATGTTGCTCAGATGCTTGCAGAAGGTTGAGGGGTTGCTCACCTGGCATGTGGGCCCTTCCTAGCAGAATCGCGAAGCCTAGGCTTGGAGCCCAGCAGGCTCCTCCTCACCGTAGGCTCGCTTTGGCGAGGCGCCCATTAAGCTGCGCGACTTGCGCAGGTTTTTGACCTCTCGCTTGAAAGACGAACGTGATTTGGACATTGTGCGCGAGGAGTGTGCTACGCCGCTAGGTAGTGCAGTCCAAGAACCATGTTCGACTGGTGCATCTTGGCACACTTCACAACCACAACGGTGCCCTTCCAGTTGGCGAGGTGAACCGCGCCTTGGCTCAGCTAGCATCTGCCTTTCTGAGTACGTATTAAGGTCGCAATGCCGTTGGGTCAAGGCAATGCTGTCGGACGAGGCACTCTTAAGCGTTTTGCCAATCTGCTTCCTCAGTCTGCGATCACTTCACAAAACTCCTTGATGGTCAGTTGTTGATGCCGTCTGCTGCATCCCGGCAATTACATTCTGCTTAGCAGCTTGAGGGTGATCTCGCTCGGACTGAGCAGCCAAAAACCTCGGTAACACACTAGAGTCAATGGAGAACGTACAGGGCACTGCCAGTACTGCAAGTTCACCAGACCTGCTCTTGCTTTGTGCTGCTGCAAGCAGCTCGCTCGTGCACGTGACTCGATCTCCTCACGCTGCAGCTTGGCTCCATGCTCCTGTGGCACAGCAGGCTGGGCGAAGCATGGCCGAACCCATATGCTGGCAAGCATCCAGCATCCAGCATCCACTCCAACCGGCACACACGTGGAGGACCAGGACATTTCTCGATTACTCGGATGCATGCAGTGGCATGCATTGGTATGTTGTTGCCAGTGGTGCTCCTGCAGCATTGCCTTCACGGCAAAGCTTCCAGCTCGACTTGCGATGTCCTGAGCGGGCACAAAGAAGATTCACCAGAATTGAACCAGGCACACTGGACAGAGAGCAAACCACAGAAACACACCTGTGCCGCACATGCACACATTACACACCTGCCGGCAAGCATCCATCGGGGTTTGGCCCAGATTGTCCGTGACGTTCACCTGAGAAACGGCTGGTCAGGCCATCAAACCAAGGCTTCGGATGCTCCGAGGCACTTCGGCCCCATGCTCCAGCAGCACACGGACCACCTCCTGGCCGTCTGTCGTGTTAGCGCAAGCCTGGTGGGATTGCGATGAATTGCTTAGTGCAAATCAGCACGACAACTCCTTGCAACCCCACGTGCGTAAGGCTGCACAAACTGCCGCACAGAGGCGATATGAAGCGGTGTCTTGCCACCGTAGTCACCACGCGTGGGATCACACTTTTGGCTCAGGAGGGCCTTCACCTGCCACATGCAGATGGAGAACGTGTAGTGGCGGAATGACTGGAAGCTCACTTTGTTGATTGACTCGACTCTTTGTGCTGGAAAGTGTGGCTTATCGCCTACTTTCGCAGAGAAGGTTCTGACCTTAAGACAATCGCCAGCAGCCGCCGCGTAGCAAAGCTGCATGGTCGCCTCATGGGCACGAAAACTTTTGGTGTGTGTGTGTGTGTGTCTGTCGAACTGCAGGCATATGGCTGCCAGCAACTCGGCAACAGCACGCACTGTCCAAACTGCAGAGCCGGAGCCTGCTGGGTGCCTTCAGCGTCCGTCGCCGTTGTCATGGCCGACTGCTTTTGCCTAAGGGGGAGAAATTGCCGCGGACATGGAAGCTCGCTAAGTTCCAATTCTTTCCCACATGTGTAGCAGGGAAGCGAAAGGTTCTCGCCTAAGCTTTCGCTTATCGATTACGGGGTTGATGCCTGTCGCTGTTGAGGGTTCGAAAGACCCGTTTCGCCCTGAACACTCCTCGACCCTGCAAAAAACCCAAGGGCCCGTGCTTCACCTTTGAGAAGGCAAGGGGCCATTAGCAGGTACCACCTACCTGGATTCGACTCAAGGTCTGCTGGGCCCCATGCTGCGATTGCGCCGTGTTCCGGGACAGCAGCGTAGGGAGCTCCTGTTGAATAGCTGCAGTTGGGCCCCAACAACTCACCAAAACACATTCGAGCTCTCAGGACTCGTCCAATGACCCACAGCCGAGCCGACCTCTGCACAGAAGGTCATCGCGGACACCTGGGACAACGTGCGAACTTGCCGGGTGGCTTGGCTGTTCGTCGGCTGCCAGGCTACTTCGAGCCCTTGCCTCACGAGCCTCAAATCTTTTCGAAGACACAAACTCCTTGCACGAGCTATTGCAGCTCGGCAGCTCACCACAACAGAACGCCAAGCGGACGACACGAAACACTGCTGTCACGCTGTGAGCATGAAACGCCTGCAGTGTGGCGAATCCTGAGAATCACAACTGTCTGACGGTACGGTGGCTGCTTATGCTTCTGCAGAAGAACCCAAGAAAGCAAGACTCAGGAAATAGGATGAAGTAGGACCGGACCAACGCCATGCTTTTTGACAGGCTATTCGCATCCCAAGCCCAAGCCGCAAAGCGACAGAAATTGAGTGCGCAAAGTCCGTGACCTCCCCGAGGCCCGAGCAGTACAGGCGCAAGACCTGGGGCGTTGATGGAGTTCCGAAATGAAAACGCATCGGCCGTGCATACACTAGCCATCCCCATGCTTCGCATCGTCAGGGGCTCCACAGATTCTAAGCTCCCTGGCGGCTTTGAAAGCATTTCTTCTGTAGCACGGCCGGCCAACAGCAACACATACTGGGATGCTCACGGTATCCGTCTCAGTCGCAGTCGCTGCCATGTGACTTGCTGGGCTGGTAGACATAGAGTTTCGATGCTCAGGGTCACACTTGGGAGGCTCTAAATGCTCTGTTCGCTGACTGACTAACAACAGGTTTGGGAGTTGGAAAGTGTACGGTTCGACTCTCACGCTGGCGGCAGGCTAGGTCGGGAGCACAAGGCGGCGTGTGTGGCCATGAAGCTCTCTCAGTACACCCTCCATCGACACCCCTTTGATCCCCCTTGCATTCCACAACAGGCCAATGGCCCCAAGGACTCACACACACTCTGTGTAGACCTTATCAGGCCAGGCACATGCCCTTTTCAGCAGGCCTGTGCAAAGGAAGTGTCAGCATCGTCGGCACCAACAATCAGAATCACTGCTCAGGATTCAGAACCAAAAGAGGCGTAATGCATGGCACAGCTGCTACAAGTGCATGGCACAGCCAAGGTCAATGCCAACTTCAAAGCAAATACGGGGCCGTTGATTCACGGCAGTCCACACAATGGAACCTTGTTTTCTCTCGCTTTCTGCACAAGCTGCTCGAGGACGAGGCCAACCCAAATGCTCCGCACACGAACGAGGCCGATCAAGCCTAGGTTCCAGAGACTCATCACAACTTTTTCACCTACAGCGCTCACGCATGCATGTTATATGTATATATGTATACATGTATGTATGCATGCATGCATGTATGTATGCGTGTGTGCGTTTCCCTTATTAATCCACGAACAACTTTAAATAAGTGGTTACGAGGTCAGCTGTGTGGTCAGTTCAGGCCCCGCTCCACCCCAAAACGACCCCAAATTCCTTCGCAGGGCACCCATGTGCAGCCCAGAATCGTTGCAGTTGCAAGCCTCCAATGTGGCCACAGGCTGGGGCCTCATGGAAGGAGCGGGTTTGAAAAACAGCCGCAGCTTGGAAGGACTGGCGACCATTGCATGTGTCCGCGCGCAGCGCACACACAGACCAAAACAAAAGCAGCAGCATGTTCTTCGCAGATTGTCGCGAGCCCCAATGACATCAGGTACATTTTCAGACTCCCAGGCAGCACGCGTCAGCAGAAACCATCATAGGTCCCATCTGAGCGCTCACCGGCTTATGAAATCAGCAGGAATGGCAGGGAGACCAAGCACACTCCATGCAGCTTGGGCCCATGCATAGAAAGACAGGAGAGACTTCTAAATTCTCTTGTGGAGTCAGTCTTCTCCCAGCAGCCAGAATTCACTAAAATGCATCGCCTGATTACCACCACCATGCACCAGCAGATTCCCCTGTTTTACGATTCCTGTCAATATAAGGCATTGATTTTACAGCAGCACAGTGTAGCACAGTGTCCCAGTGACAAGTTGACCCACAAAGGGCATGTCAAGCGCAGCACAGCTTACTGTCAAAGGCTGCGTGTCAGGCTCAGCGGCCTTGACACAATGGAAGCAATGGAACTCGAGAGGCATTGCTCTCCAAATGAACGAGCCATTGTAGTATTTTCAGACACCAACTCGAAGCGACATTAAAATGGTCGTCTGAGCACTGCAGAACCCTCCAGACATTATGCGGGGGTTCTTGCATATGCCTGCAAGTGATTGCGCTTCGGTCAAAACGCTAGAGAATGCACAGCAGAATGGCCGATCTGTGTGCAACCCACTTGCCCGGCTCAGGTCTGCTGGCCACTGTGCAACCACCGTTGCTAAGCCGGATTCTCTTGTGCCCTGCATTTCTGACATCCTAAGAACCACAAATCCACACAATTCAAGGGGGCCTGTTGCAAAGACAGCGGTTGCGCGGTGTATTGGTTTATTGGTTTGTGCCCTACTCCGCATTCGCGGGGAGACTCCTCGCACGGACCCGAGTTCTCACATCGTAGAGCAGGACTCACAAGAGACGCCTGCAGTGAGGCAAGTTGTGGCCTTTTCCCAACATGTGTGCTCTTTTGAACGCTGCCCCTGTTAAACTTCTCCTTGACCTGCACAGACTGCTCAGAGTGCGCACACAAGGAACTCCAAAACTCGGCCTGTGCTGCAACACTGCTTAGCCGAACTCGCAAGCTGCCTTTAATAGAAAGGATTGAGCCACGAATCGGTTTCTGAGCACGGTCCAAGCTTGCCAGCCTAGACTCACACATGTGTACATGTGCGTCACGCTCGTGCCACTGCTGCGGTGCCTCGCGACGCTGCAATTGCGTCCAGCTGAAGTGTGATCTCCTCTGCCGAAGGTCCTGAAAGCTCAGCCAACCGCCCCGATTCTCTCAAATTGCCAGTGCGACCAAACCTCTGCGCCCCTCACCTTGTACTGACAACAAAGTTATCAAATCTGTTCTCCAACGACAAGGGACGAACAAACTTGTCCGTCTGCCAGCATGGCTCAATGATGCCTGCCCGGTACACTCCGGCACGTGCGAAAAGCCACGGCAGCGTACTTGCAGAGCTCATGTCACTTCCATGCATGTGGCGGTGGCATGTGCTAGCAAACACCGTCCGGTTCCCGCCTCGCAGGATCTTGGGGCAATCAGAAATGAGAGGACGTGGCTCCTTTTTCTGGCAGTACTGCTGGAGGATCACCTCTCCATGTGAGCAGTTGAGCGGGTCTGCTGAGAGGGCTGGGCGAGCTTGAGAAACCTGTTCACATACCCATCCCGCAGCCTCCGGGTCAAGAGTGATGTGGTGGAAAGGGCGCTTCCCAGAGCTGAGGTAATACCTAAGGAAGCTCAGTATAAAACACGAGCGAAGCTGATGGCCGCCAGGCTTTCAGTGCAACAGGTCGCCACATCCAAGTTGCATGATCAGGCCGTAGGAGTAGATGTCAACCTGCGGCAACAAAGTAACAAAGAAGGCTTGGAGGAGCAAAATGAGGCATCCGAGTGTTTGACACAGCCGTGACATGTAAAGTTCAATGCAAAAGGCACTGACTGGCCCGGTCTTCAAGGCATGTTCTGGCTAAAGGATCAGGTAGCAGAGGTTGACTGCGGAGTCCCGGTACACCATGCGTGTCATGAGGCCTTCTCGTTGTACTCCTCGTACCGCACAACTTCTGGGGCCATGTACAAGTAGCTTCCCACGCCGCCCGTCATTGTATGATGCTCATTCTCCATTGTGGCCATCATCTTGCCTGCCAGCAAGCGCACACATACGCATATCACAATAACATATAACATATAACATATAACTTATAACATACAACATACAACAGGGGCTTATTGCACCAATGGCAACCATCATGCTCTTAAACCGATGAGTGTCCCCAAGTCGAAAGCACACATAGTTGGAGGCTTTAGGAAACCAATGAGAATGTCAAACCTCTGTTTGAATTCGAACTCAATATTGGAGAATAGGCTTTTTCATGTCGTACGCACCGTGGTATCACAGCAGGTGTCAGAGGTGCAAGCAGGCGTGATGGCCCTGCACATCAAGTGCACCAAGGCCTGCTTTCAACAACATTTACATCAGCATCTCACCGGCACGAATGCCCAAGCATTAAATGCTAGTACCTTGGAGACGAGACTCACCCCGAAAAGAAAAAGTGTGGCTGCTTGTGGCGAGCTGCTTATCCCAAAATCCGTCATCTTCAGTTCGAGATTTTTGGTGAGCAGCAAGTTGAGCGGCTTCAGATCTCGATGTACAATGGGTGCCTGGCTTGAAGGCCGATGTCTTTGTTGAGTCGGGGGGGGGGGGGGTGTGTGGACCAGCAGTGGATACAATGCCCAGTGTGCCAACGGGGAAGGTTCACCACTGCGTAGAGTGCTGTCAAGAAGCCGCAAAACCATGCAGAAAAGCCAGAGCGCGGCCAATGGCACAAGACCACTCTACCTTTCGCAAGGGGCTCTGGCATACCCTTGCTCGAACAGAAGCGGAAGTCGTGCTGCCAAAGACCACTGGTTCCACGTTTCACGGCAACGCGCTGGCAAACACGCTGCATTCGGGCAATGTGTTCACGTTTGACAACCCCAAGGTGTGGTGAAGCCATATACTGTGCGGCCAACATGATGGGTTTCACATGTGTTGTCGAGGTCGATGTCAGTCTGCACGGTGCTTGCCAATTCATGGTGTGGAGTTGCGACGTGAGGGTCAGTGAATGTGTTGCTTTCTGCGGGAGGAGTATGACTCTTTCCAGTTCTCTCAGTCTTCATCTTGTGAGTTGACAAGATGACACATTGTGAGAGGAGGTGTTTTTTCTCACTCGGCTGTCACAGCGCACAATCCCTCACAGTTTGAAGGGTCCGTCCTTACACCGTGCTGTAACAGCCCTGGGAACACCCATGGCATTGGTGCCCTGTGCCGTGCTGTCAAAGGTGGACCGTACCCTGCCCTTTGCTTCACGGAGAATGTTGGCTCTTGCAAGATGTCCCCAGGCCATCCATCCCACGACGAGCTGCCATGCGCCACAATGGCGGCTTCCAGGCAGCGACCTGGCTCGAATGCTTGAAGATTTTTTGAGGCTCCGGTTCGGGCCCCTCGTTGCCTGATGCTTCTCCCGCATGTTGTACATGAAGTGCTCGAGATCGCCTGTGCCGAGTGACTGAAGGGTGGGTGCGCAGCAGAGCACGATAGAGCATGTACATGCTTGGCTGTGGATGGGTAATGCGACCAGCCTATAGCCTATGGTAAATCTTGACAACGCAGGCATGGGCCGGGGAGTTTTGGCGAGGTGCCTCCACCCATGAACTCCGACACAAACCTTGTGGCCAGGCGCTGTCTCGATTCTTGGTCATAAAACGCTATATAGACTTCTCCAAACCATTGCCAGCTATGCTAAAAACCATGACTCCAAGCGCGACCTTGCGATCATACGATCTGTTCCGCCAAATTTTGAGAAGGCAAATGAAAAAATGAATGCAGCGATGCTCTCCACGAAAGGAAACCAAACTTACGCTCGCCATCTCGCTGCCCAAAAGCATGATGGGATAGTTCGGGTCCAGGCAAGCTCCGAGGAACAACACCAAATCCTGCAAGGGCCACTTTTTATCGGGAGGACGAGCAAGTAACTCAGGGCCTCATCAACTGGTCATGCTAGAGCATAGCAGGCTTCAACACTTTAACACTGCACTGAACAATGCACAATGCACCAATGCAGATGGATGGTGCAGCGAGACAAGGCGCTTAGGGAGCCTGGGCTCAAGGGTGCTTTGACGACGTGGTCGACATGTTCAGGCGATGGTTTTTTGGAAGTGTCCGGGTGGCGAAGAGAAGCCAGAAGCTGAATTTCATGAAGGAGTTCCTGGCACCCACAAGCAGACCCAGGGCGAAGATACTGATTGCAGAGGAAACCGGGATTGGCTAAGCGGCCTAAGGAGCTTTCAGCATCCGAAATCTGCAAACAACTATGACAGTTTAACTGGCTGCAGAAGAGGCTCTTCCGTGATGTCGGCTTCTGTCTCCTCAGACTACAGAAGACACATCTGTGTGACTGGCTGACAACGCTCGGGCCGACCATGGGTTCCAGCCAGTTGCTACAGGGCATGTTGTTTCTGCACTCTGACACTTCCATGCAAAAAGGGAAGGCGCGCTCACAAGTCTTGCCCCCCCGCCAGGCCTGAGGCTTAACAGAACCAGCACAACAATGTGCGGATGTCTCTGACGAGCGCAGTTTGCGCTGGGAGCTTTGGTCCTGTTTGGTACTGGGTGGCCCTGCACAGCCCCCAGCCTACCAGAGCTTTGCAGAACCTGCCCACCAAGAGTGGCTTGTTGTAGCGCATCTTGCATCCCTGTGGGGAGCCGTGCTGAAATTCATAGGCACGTCGCGCGGATTCTTGCGGCGGGAGTTGCTCACATTGTCAAGTATACCCTTCCTAGCAGAACGTAGGCCTGAGTGGGGCAGACCCCGCCGTAACTCCAATAATTGCATCCACTGCCACTCCTTTGGCTAAGGCTCGTCACCGTCGGCTCGCCTTGGCGAGGCACCTTCCACGCCGCCCAGCATCATGCTGTGCGACTTGCGCAGGTTTTTGACCTCTCGCTTGAAAGACGAACATGATTTTGACATTGCGCGCGAGAAGCGAGCTACGCCGCTAGGTAGTGCAGTCCAAGAACCATGTTCGACTGCTGCATCTTGGCACACTTCACAACCACAACGGTGCCCTTCCAGTTGGCGAGGTGAACCGCGCCTTGGCTCAGCTAGCCTCTGCCTTTCTGAGTACGTATTAAGGTCGCAATGCTGTTGGGTCAAGGCAATTCTGTCGGACGAGGCACTCTTAAGCGTTTTGCCAATCTGCTTCCTCAGTCTGCGATCTCTCACTTCACAGAACTCCTTGATGGTCAGTGGTTCATGCCGTCTGCTGCATCCCGGCAAGTACATTCTGCTTAGCAGCTTGAGGGTGATCTCGCTCGGACTGAGCAGCCAAAAACCTCAGCAACATCCCTATGGACCACAGCACTGCACGTACTGCAAGTGCACCAGCCACCTGATCTTGCTTTGTGCTGCCGCAAGCAGCTCTCTCGTGCGCGACACTCGAGCTCTTCACGCTGCAGTGTGGCTCCATGCTCCTGTGGCACAGCAGGCTGGGCGAAGCATGGCGTTTCATATCGTTTGCTGGCATGGAAGCGGCATCCAGCATCAAGACTGATTTTGCCCCACGTACCCGGACTTACCCCACTTGCCCCCCTTGGGGCGGAATAACTGATCTTGCCCCAGAAATTCTACTAAACCCGTTTGCTCGTTCGAGTCCGGGTCGCTCCGTCATGCTGCCAGCCAAGGACCAAACACGCTGTCAATGACACCGCGTTTGGAGCAAGTATGACGCACGAGCAATAGGAAGGAAGTATCGGACATTAGGAGCAGAAGACACGCCTGCCCACCTAATATACTGGATCGAAAGTGCCTTCATTGCAATTACACCTGATTGTTCCGCACCCTTTTTTTGCCCTTCACTACGAGGGAGACTTGCATCAGCGCGCGAAAGGGGTGGGCAATTGGGGAAGTGCCACTTGCCCACTTGATGCATTGGCTGTGACGGAGACATCCATCCATGGTTGACGTGGGGGCGGCAAGTGGGGCAAGTAGGGTCACTGGGTAAAACGAGGCAATTGCACTGGAAATTTCTCAATTGTGCAGTTGCCTGCAGATACATGCAGCTGCCAACGCTGAAGAGTAGTACTACGTTTGCACGACACGACAAGGAGGGGGGGGTTAGCCCCAAAAGCAAGCAAGCAAGCAAGCAAGCAAGCAAGCAAGCAAGCAAGCAAGCAAGCGCGCGCGCGCGCGCAACAGCAGGGTCCCATAGAGGTACGGCGTTTGTACTCAAGCAATACTAAATTTGTACTGCTGGAAGACGACAAGGGGGGGTAGCCCCAAAAGCGCCTGCAGCACTGCCTTCACCGCAAAGTTTCCAGCTCGGCTTGAGATGTCCTGGTCTGCGAAGAAACTCACTCACCAGGATTCAATGTGGCCAGAGAACTAGCATTTACCCACATGATTGCACATGCACTTCTGTGACTTCTGTGCACACAATTGCAACACCTGCGGGCAAGCATCCAACGGGGTTTGGCCGAGATTGTCTGTGGCATTCACCTGAGAGAGAGGAAGAAAAAGAACGTCTGGTCAAGCTGTCAAGCCAAGGTTTCCGAAGTAATCCCATTTCTCCAAGACACTGCGGTCCCATGCTCCAGCAGCACACGAACAACCTCCTGTGCGCCGGCCGTGTTGATGCTGCAAGCCTGGGACGGCTTAGCCGGTCTAAATCGGCACGACATTACGTACGTCTGGAGCAACTCTGCGACAAACCCACGCGCCTAAGGCTGCCCCAGAAGCGATATGAAGCGGTGTCTTGCCAGCGTAGTCACCATGTGTGGGATCACACTTTTGGTCCAGGAGGGCCCTCACCTGTCACATGCAGATGGAGAACGTGGACTGACACACTGTGTTGAAAACACTCTTTCCAAGCATTGTGTTTCTGGCCCATGTCTGCAGATGTTGTGCATGAGCTCTTTTCTTGTACTGCTATCTGTCTTCGCAGAGCGAAGGTTCTGACCTTGAGGCAATCGCCAGCAGCCGCCGCATAGCAAAGCTGCATGGTAGCCTGTTGGGGGCTCAGACTGCAGATAGAGTAAGTGGCGGAGGGTGATGCGAGGCACCTTCCAGAAAGGGTCCGCTTAGCTTGTCGGAGCCTGAGCCTGCTGGGCGTTTTGAGCGTCCGTCGCCGTCGTCTTGGCCGGCTGCTTTTGCCTCATGGAAGCTCTGGAAGTTCCACTCTTCTCCCAAATGAGGGTTTCCGAAATTAGGGGTGCCTGTATGGGGTCCTGATTATCAGGATTGGGGTCTATGTGAGGGGTCCCCTATTTCGCAAACCCCAAAATCGGAGTTCCCCACTTATCGATTGGGCGGTTGACGAGGCCTTTCGCTGTTGAGGGCCCGACCGCAAAGCAAACGAATGTCAGGATGTCAACGCACTTCCAAGAGAATCTTCACAGACCCTCTCTCCAGGCAGGCATTCCACTACGTAGACCCTTCCATGCCGTTTTCAGAAGCTTTCCATACAGTGTCACTTGACAAAGTTCTGTGTCAACCGAACACTCCGCGACCGTTTCAAATCCAAGGGCCCGTACTTCAGAACTCTCTCAAACGGTAAGGGACCATCATCAAGGACAATGAACTTAAACCCCAAGACGGCCCAGCGCCCCAGTGCCCCTGGATGGGACTAAAGGCTTGCTGCGGTCTGATAATGTCTGCTAGCTCTTCTTCGGCTGCAGAGCGTCCCATGCTGCAATGGCACCGTGTTCCGGGACAACAGCGTAGGGAGCTCCTGTGGCATAGCTGCAGTTGGGCCAAAATGGGCCAACAGCTGAACACTCAACAAACATTCGAACTCGGGACTCTTGCCCATCCAGTGACCCACAGCCCACTGAATCAAATCAGCCATGGACAACGACTACTTTTCTTGGTGCTTGTTGTCGGGTATAGGCTCGTGGACCTCGTGGTAAGTGACCGACACTTGACCGACATCAGCCGACCTGAGCTGTGGAGAAGGACATCGCGACACCTGGGGCCGGGCTCGCGAACTTGCTTGAAGTGTGGGATTGCTTGGCTGCTCGTCGGGTGCCAGGCCGATATTCCTTCGACCCCTTTCCTCACAAGCCTCAAATCTAATCTAAGCAGTTCCTTGCACGAGCCGGCGGGGCATAATAATTCAGCTCGGCAGCTCGACACAGCAGGATGCCAAGACGAAACACTGCTGTCACGCTGTGAGCATGAAACGCCTGCAATGTAGCGAATCCTGAGAATCACACCAGCACTCCTGATCTGCAGAACGAAGTAGGAACACCCGGCCATTCTTTGGACAGACTGCTGGCATCCCAAGCCCAAAGTCTCGGTACAAAATCCGCAACCACCCCGGGCCCCGAGTCCCGAGCAGTACATGCGCAAGACCTCGAGCGTTCCTTGAGCCCCGGGGCCCCGAAGGAACACGCATCCGTCCACACATTCACCCTCGGCCACTACTGCGAAGTTATCCCCACTTTACGGATTTGTGCATTGCTCTGCCATATCCGCACATGTCAGTGTGGCAAATCTTGCGTGTCCTGCTTGCCTCTCTCCGACGGCATGGCTCTTGCTTTGGCCTGCAACGCTAGATGAAGTTGGGAGCTTTGCGAAGAAGGACCAGCTACAACTACTTCAGCTGGGGTTTTGCAAACATCCGCCAGCTCTTCCTTGTAGGGGAAAGGGGAAGAGGGCACAGTATGAAGGTATACAAGCTGCCTTCAGGCCTTGTCATCGGCAGCGCAGTCCAGGTCCACTCAAAGCCTTGGATGCAAGGTGCATCAAGTGATGTTGTGGCCACGCTGCTTGTACCCTTCAAACGCCACAGCATGCGTCGCTCCGCTCCGCATGCAACCACCTGTGCATAACACCAAGCCTAGGGGTTGTACCTGGGACCCTTAAGGTTTTACCCATGGGTCTTGGGGACCCTGTTTCAAGATCCTTAAGGTAGTATAAGGGCCATGTGAGGAGCATATTAATAAGGCAACCTTTCGGGTACAACCTCAGGGGTACGAGTCTCAATCCCTTGACCGAGATGCTTCATGCACAATCGCTTCGCTAAGCACAACCCACTTTGCACAGTTACAAGTTACATATCTCAGCTGATCCCTGCCATCATGAGCAGCAGGCGCATGTACAACCAGGATCAGAAGCAACAGACTAGCCCAGGACTTCGTCGTGGTTCTGCGCTCAACGTTGGGGGGGTGAGCCCTGAACTGATACATGAGCTCTCTGCCTTCCCAACTGTCCCAACCATGCGGGGCACATGCCACTGCTGCAAAGGGGCCTAGCCTGGCGCGAAGCCAAGTCGAGCATGATCTCCTTCCAAGCCGCACTTTTCAGCATCTGATCCGTACGTCGGGGTTCGGGCGCAGTCACTGCAAAAGACCTCAAGCCACCAACGAAAACTTTTGTTCCGAAACACCTTCCGTGGCCGCAGCCCGAGCCTCCGAGCCACCTCCCATAGCGAGGACCCGGACCTCCACGGCGGATTCGGCGTAGGGCTTCGGGCAGTTTAGGTCTACGGGCCACGGGTCTCAGAGAATGCCACAGAGTTTGGGTGTGAGGCTCCACGTGGCCCACACCCAATTCAAAGCAAAGTCTCAGGTGCCTCCCAGGGAAGCCCCGGCAGCCCGCAGAAACTCAGACACACGAGCAAGACCCTATCTCTAAGCTAGCCATCTGCTAAGGCATCGCTGATTCGCAAGGCAAACCAAACTGACGCTGATGACTTGCGGTTCCTTGCGCGGCAGTTAAGGGCAATTTCCGGCCTCCCGATAGGCTCGCTCGACAACACGACCTGGACCAGACCTTGTGGCATTCAAGAGCAGCCAAGGATCCAGGAAGATTGCTTGGTCTGTGCTACACACGTCGCGGCTCAACTAAATTACTGGCTACTTCCATGAAGGTGTAATGGGCCGCATGCCCTCAAGAGCCGACATTTCCATTTCACGTACTACAGCAATTTTGTTTCGTCACTAGATAGTCACTACGCACCTCGTGCCCCAACTACTGCTCGCCGCTTTCAAGGGAAAGTGTCGTCTCGTTCATCAGCATAGTCAGAATGCAGGCAACTGCACCCTACAATCTTCAAGATGCACAGAGGCCACCGGAAAATGCTTACGGGTGTTGGGGCACTACAGATTTGGGGGAAGTCAATGAAGTCCCCAAGGTAAGAACGACGATTTGTGAAAAAAGTTGCAAGCCCAGAACTTCGACTCCACGACTCCGACGTCTCATTTTACAAGCCTTCCGGGCACCTAATATTCTGAAGAAGTAGATTTTGCCAGGGCACCGAAGGTAGGACTTGCCCCCGAAGACCTGGCACAGGCCAATCGTATAGCTTGGCACAGAAACGACGGGCAAAAAACAATGAGCCTGTGGAAGCTGCTAAGGAAGACCGAGTGGATTACAAAATTGTATGTTCTAGCTGTAGTTAGCTGTAATTACACACCCCTGTCGTCAGCAAGCGCGGCGGCCTGCGAGCACTCACGGGCCACGAACTCGAAGCTTTTCGTCGCCTGCACCTCTTACCGAGCAGCATGCCAAAAGACATACATGCACAGGCCGGTGCTCACACCGGGCCCCACTCGACCCTGAACAGCTCCAGCTTTGCAACTGCCAACAAAAACCGCACCTTCGCCAAGGCGATGGCACCGGCGAGCTGCTCGGAGGAGTCGCCAGGTCGATTTTTCTGTGCCTACGGAGGTCGCAAAGAGAGTTTCAACTTTGACGGATCGGCTCCCTTCCTGACCATGTGTGCTTGACAGGCTGCCCATGATGTCCACACATGTGACGTGCTTCTTCTGCACCATGCAAAGCTTCTACGCCGAAACGCCGAAACCAAAATGTGCCGACCAAGCAACGCAGACGGAGAGGAGCAGAGCATTACTGGCCATGACCAGGCCTTTGTTGTTTTGGGAATTGGCAACCCAAAACTCACGAGTTCAGTTTTTTTTGCAGCCCCCACGAAGGTGCTAAGTCTTTGTACGGATTGAAGGCAATCAAGCATACCTTAGGAATCTCGCCCCTACCCGGCTCCGGAAACTAAGCGCGCTGCGACCGCACTCCATGAGCTTGTGGCGGATGACCTGGGTGTGGGACTTGCAAGAAACAGCAAAAACAGGAAAATTCTCCGCATCGCTTCGCCCACCTGGTGCGCAGACAGCGGCTTGCCAAAGGTCTTCCGCACCTTTGGAAACATTGCACAGGGACAAGCAACGGTGCACTCTGGGTGCTGTGTTTGTAGTGTGACGCCTTAAAGCGTGCATCCCATGCTCAGCTGTGACGGCTGATCCCAACATTGTGGCAGCACAGGGGCTTGAACCAATGGGGATGCTGAGAATGGGTTTATGATAACAAAAGACCCCAAATACAGACCCCCGACTATGAGGATCCCCTTATACCTTATACTGAGGACTCCAAAAAGGTACACCCTTTTTGCATCCAGGCGTCTCCGAAAAAGGTACCCCCCTTACTTTGGAAACCCTCAAATCTGCCAAGAGGCTTGAGCATATCTGACCTCAGCAACACATGCTGCGTCTCAGCATCTTTGTCCATCTGAAAACTTTAGTCCATTGCCACTTCTGCGGAAAACGAAAGCCGTGCCATTCCAAATCCAAGGTTGACAAAGGCAACTTGATCATGGGAAACTAGGCGCGGCTTCTATTTTCTGGCTCACCGTTCGTTGTACACCAGCAAAGTGGCTCCGATTCCTCGTGCTAAGAGGCTGAGAACACGCAACCTGGGAGAGTGCAGCAATTCAGGGGCCGAGGGGGGGAGGCGGGGAGGGGGTTGATGGGGGTTGGTGCACGCACTCTGAGGACCGGGCCGTCTCCTCCAGGCAGACCCGAGCCTCAAAAGTCAAAAGAGATGCTTTTCCGTCTCGTCAAGAAGAGGAGATTGCGGACGTGTCACCGGCATCACCGGATGAGGCATTTTAGAGGCTTGGCTTGTGTCAGGTCTGCTTGCACTTGTCTGCTGCCAGCTGCACTCAACATGGCTCAAGCACATTAGCTCGCACCTGCCGATTGGCGGTGATGGCCAGGGCAAGCCTGCAAGAAGTCTAGGGCTGTGAAGAGAGAATACAGCGTTGCTGCTTGCATGTCTCCTTTGTTATCGAAAGCACAAGCCGCGCTGTGAATACATAGCTTCAGGAACAAAACTACTGGACTACAGTATGAGCCAAGAGTCCAGGGTCTAGGTACAGGGCCTACTTGAAGGTTCATACGTAGTTAGAAGTAGGGTTATAAGTATGGTAACTATGCTTATAACCCAATTTAGGTACTTAAAACAACCCTTTTACTAACCACCCGCGAACCTGCAAGTTGTTCCTAGTTCGCACATGTTGTGTCCATAATCTTGAACCAGGGGATCCAAGCCTCTCGTTGTTGAAGTTTCGCATGATGGCCAAGAAACCATCACCTGCCACACCAACAAAGCAAACTGGGTACGGCGTTCCTGCGTGCAATGTAGCCAACCATCGCCCGGGAACTTTCTGATGCTTTCTGGCCTTCACGCCCCAACAGGTTCTCTGCGGGCACCTTCACCTCGTCAAAAGTCACCAAGGTCCTTAGACAAAAAGTAGGCTCCAGCTCACGCCTGTACAAACCCACAGGCGAAATTGGGCTGGCGCCCACAAACCCAAAGCACAAAAGCATCAACAACCTCGAAGAAGCCTTTTTCCTGACACCCCTTGACTCCACGCGGCGTCGTGCTGAGAAGCCATCCCTGCGTCCTTGGCTTCAGCAAGAAAACACGAGCCAACCTCCACCACTTTCCTGCCGAGTCGTGTGCTGCCGAAACCTGCCTACAACCAAAGCAGAACTTTTGGGTGCACCCAAGAAACTTCAAACGCGCCGTGTTGAGGCCATCGCTTTGGCGTGGTACCAGCAGTATTGAGATGCCCTGCCAGGCAGGGAAACCCTTAGAGCTGCTGAAGTGGATTTATCCGGGAACAGAATGCAAGTGGGCAAGCGCCTTGCTGCCGGTCTTGCCACTCGTGCGGACCCCTGTGGTGAAGTAGTCGGCATTCATTCCTCCCGAAATGAAGGTCTTCTGGCCGTTGACCACCTCGCCAAGCGCAGCACCGTGCAGGTTCTCATAATTCTCATGCACCATCGATTCTGAGGGTTTACTGCAGAGCTGCAGAAACAGCAGGCGTGGCAACTTCTTCCATCTGAGCTGCATAATGCTTGCCACTGGCATCGAGAACCTGCAACACTAGGAGACATGGTCATCCCTTCAGAAACACTTCCATGAGCTGACCCCAACCCCAGCATGCCGCCAGAGCACTGCCGTAGTCTGTACATTGGCTACGTCAGAGCCGCCGCCGGGTTCTGTGACGGCCAAGCAGCAGGTCTTCCTCAACGTTTCACGGCGGAGGAGGATACTGACCAAGGCTCAGGGGTCCAGGATGCTCCAAGCTCCGGCGGCATTACCTGCACTGCCTGGGATACACAGCGACCCTTCTTGCGAACGAGCTTCTCGCCAGAGATGATTTGTCCTTGATTGCTTCATGGCAACCCAGAAGCACAGATTGTTTTGCAGCTTTGTCTGATGCTCTTGACACCGCAATCTTGAAGATCGACACATGTTCTTCCGAATTGTCATTGCTGTGCCATACCCTCGCTTCGTCAAAAGTCAGGGCGGCTATAACTAAACCATGCCTGCAGCCCTCCACTGCCCTCAACCGCCCCAAAAAGCACGTGCTGAACTTCTTCACGGCGGCTAGCCACCGCCTGGCCAGGGTTCTGGCAAGCTTGCCACAACGAAAGGAAAATACACGTCATGGACTCAGGGACTGTTCCTGTGCACAACCTAGCCTCCTACCGTTCCTACATCAGACCCTCCTCTCCTCCTTCTGCTTCTCAGAGCCCAGTTCCTGTTCTCCAAACGCTCAGCTTGCATGCTACACTCACACAGACAGAACGGTACAGACAGCACGGTTCAAGTGCCAGGTTTCCAGCAAGGGCGGCAGCGAAATGCTGTGCGTCATCAGGGAGCCATACAGGCCTTGTGCAAGGTGGAGGGAGAATCGATTGGAGAATCTTGGTGTGGGGGCATGCTTTGCTCTACATGCGCGCAAGCTTGACGACTGAATTCCGACTTCACGTAAAAGACATCCATTTCTCAGGGGCCGATGGACGACCCTACAGTTTGTGTGCAGTCTGGTAAGTAAGGCTTGCTTCAGCAACAATAAAATGCCCTGTGCCCTCACTAGCATGCTGCAGTGTTTGCAATCCCGAAACTCTTCTGGGCGCGCGACCACTGGCACATGGCCGTGCCAATTCATCATAAAAGATGAAATAATGGAACCTAAGCTGCGACTTCAGTTCCACGTGAACCATCCAGAAGAACTTAAGTGGGCACTCAATCTGCATAGATGACCCAACAGATACCCAACAGTATAGATTACAGAGTAAAGAATCTCTCCAGGTATCTGATTCGGGTAGACGCGACAGTACAAATTACAGAGCACAGAATCTTCCCAGGTTCCTGAGAGGTGCATCCATGCGTAAATCCCACTGCATAATGGTTGTCGCGAGTCGCATCTATAGTGTTATTGTCGTTCCCGCGTTGCTTCTTGTTGTTCTGACACCCCACATGCTTCCAGTTCATGCCATCATCGGCACTTTGCTGAAAGCATCGCCCTCCCCAAACCAAAATATTTACTAGTCCCCAACTGAAGAAACCTCATACCTTGCGAGGAGTTGCATGTCTGCCTCTTCAGCAGCTGGGAAAGTACCACCGTACCTCTCTCTCACCGTGGTGCCGCAAACAATGTAAGCACCCGCGACGACGGCGGCCGACGGCTTAGACACGTTGCTCGGACTCCGACATGCCGTGCACATGAAAGTCTTGAGAATGTTCACGGGCTGGTGCGCACTTCTTCGGCCAGAAGGCTCCATAGACCCCAGCCTTCACAGGTTCAAGGCTGGTTCAAGCTCTGGGGGCTCCAGGTCTTAAACATGCGCTGTCCGGGGCCGGGGGGGGTGGGGGGGGTGGGTTGCGGAGGCTCGACAACCAAAAAAAGATGTTGCAGGGGGGACTGGGGGAGGAAGGCTACGGAAGATGCAAACTCTTCAAAGCATGCAGCTCGAGTAACTCTTGAAAGCTTCGAGCACGTCGAGTATGCTCCGGAAGATACGGCGACTGGATTGGGAGCTGCTACAACAACTCCAGGGCTTAAGCTAAGAGGAGGCCGTGCGGTGACATGTCAAAGGCCCTCTGTCAATGCTGCCGAAGCGTCTTAGCAGTCTTAGCACAAAAACGAATGCCTTTCCGCTACATGGCCTCCCCCTGTAGACTAATCTAATTGCAGGATCCCGCAAACTCTCAACCGAATCCTTGTCCGCAGGTGTCCTTATTAAGCTCTGCAACTCTTCACCTCATAGGCCCGGCGATGGAGGTCCTTTGGAAAAGCGCCGAGGTCCTCCCAGTCCTTAGGGCAGGAATGCATAGCTCCACAGACCAGACGGCTCAAGCACTCGACATCGCGAGCCACAACTCACACAACTTACCAGGCCGTGTCGCATCAACATGGGGCAATATCTCGCTGTCCACAAACCTGCTTTCGTGTGCGCGCTTACTACAAGCCCGAGTACGCCCGAGTCCGTAGCTCCAACAAGCAGCTACCAAGACTGTTTGCTACAAGGAGACCTTTGTTGCTGCAACTTCTATGAGGAGGCGCCAAAAGAATCAACTTCGTCTGCAGAACGGAGATGCACCCACCCGGCCCACCACCCACAAGCAAAAACCAGAGTGTCATGGTACGATTGCAAAGGGAGGACCTCGCACAGGTCTCTCGGAACTCCCGGTGCTTTGGCGTGTATGCACCTGCTGCCAACATTGATGGCGCGAGGTTTGGGAGCATTGGGCAGATAAGAAATGTCAGCAGAAGATCATTTCAGCGCTGCCTACTATCCTACATACAAGCTTGAGCATCTGGAAAATCAACTGCAGATTACAGTGCCGCAAGGATGGCAAACTCCATCGCCGAGAAACCACGAGTCTTTGACGAGCTCTTTTTGTTTCCAGAGCTTTGGTCTGCCACATCGTTGCATCGATGGCATCTGACCAGCGCCCGGAACTACACACCTCACGAATGACTTGCAAAAAAACCCGCCAAGGCGTGCTCACGACGACCAGTCCACCAAGTCCAAGCCCAAGCTGTACTGCGTCTCCTCGTTCTCCTGTGAAAAGCTTGGGGGTTGTGGGAGGGTCCTGGGAAATCGCTTGTGCCTAACGTTGCAGCATCTTGACATCGCCGTGGCAAGCAAAGGGGCCAACTTTACATGTGTCCTGCAGGTACACACGGATGCTCAGGAAGTCGGTGGGGCAGGCCGTCTCGCAGCGCTTGCAGCCCACGCAGTCCTCCACTCGCGGGGAAGAGGCCACCTGCTTGGCGGCATTGATGGTGGCCGGCACCATCTCCAGGACGTCGGTGGGGCATGCACGGACGCAGAGCGTGCAGCCGATGCAGGTGTCATAGATCTTCACAGCATGGGAGCGGCGAGCCAACAGGCTGGCACTCTTCTGGCATCTGCCTGCTGCGCCTGCGGCTGCGCCAATGGCAGCGCCGGCAACCGCCATGCCAGCCATCGCACCGAAGGACCGCGGCGCATCAGTGCTGGCACCCAGGCCCGCGCCAAGCGAAGGCTGCTGAAGACCAGACTGCACCTGAAAGCCTGCTGGAGCAAAGGCGGCGGGGCTGAAGCGGGCCAGCAGCGCAACGGCGCCGGCTGCCAGGCAAAGGGCCAACTGCGACATGGCTGAGCTACACCGGGCCTGCTGCGGAGAAGCCTGCAAGCGCTGCGGCGAGAATTCAGAATACTCTCTGCACAATCATCAGGGATCCGTGCACAGCTAACTCTAGCCTTCACCACAGTCCTTCCAGTCCACCAGACAGCCGTACCACAGAATCAGCGCCACCTGTCCAAATTGACCACAGCTCCCTGGCGCCAAGGGACTAACAGACATGAACAACCCGCCATCTCTGAAACCGTAAACATTGTTGGTGATTCGTGCGTTTCGCCTAGGGAAGAAGCTTGCTCGTAATACTGCAGCACTCCTTCTGCATGTGAATGTGATTTTGTTTTTGAGAAAAGCGCTCGTTTTTATGCACTCACGTGTTTGGGGTTGCGGCTTGGGGAGGTTCAGGGCACAAGGTCTTGGGGGCATGGATGTTAAGAATGAAAACATCAATACTTGAAAACTAAGCGAATCGCCAACCCCAAACTTCAAACAAAGCTTCCATGTCTCCAGTGCATGCCCGAACGACAAGAACATCAATGTTACCACTGCGTTCATGGGCCATGGGCCAGAGCATGAATGCCCGAACGATAGGTTCTCTGGCAGTGGAGGCGCTGGCAACATGGACTTTCTAATCGTTCGGGCATGGATGCTCTACAGTAGTCAGTGGATGCACCGGTAACATGGACGTTGTCATCGTTCGGCACTTGCAACACAGACTTTTGTATGAGAACTTCGCCTAGGTAACACACTTAGCTATTTTACATGTTCTGAGATGATGCTGGACAAAACATTGTGAGGTTCTGAAGTCGCTGCCAGTAGCATAAACAACAACTACGAACCCTGGACCAGTTGTTCTTTTATCAAACTTGCAAGCTCTAGCGGTGGCATTTGCTTGCTCCGAGTGGTCTGGATCGGCCAGGATCCAAAAGCACAAAATCTACCGCAGAGCTACGGTGGTCCACAGCTTTCTTCTTGGTACATGCACTGAAGAGATAAGACTAACCACACAAGTGTAAAAAAGACAACGATGTCACAACATCAGCCACACCAAGACTCCTACCTGTACAGCTGGTGGTCGGATCTACATAAAACTATGAGGACCAGTCCACCAAGTCCAAGCCCAAGCTGTACTGCGTCTCCTCGTTCTCCTGTGAAAAGCTTGGGGATTGTGGGAGGGTCCTGGGGGCTGTTGTGCCTAGCGTTGCAGCATCTTGACATCGCCGTGGCAAGCAAAGGGGCCAACTTTACATGTGTCCTGCAGGTACACACGGATGCTCAGGAAGTCGGTGGGGCAGGCCGTCTCGCAGCGCTTGCAGCCCACGCAGTCCTCCACTCGCGGGGAAGAGGCCACCTGCTTGGCGGCATTGATGGTGGCCGGCACCATCTCCAGGACGTCGGTGGGGCATGCACGGACGCAGAGCGTGCAGCCGATGCAGGTGTCATAGATCTTCACAGCATGGGAGCGGCGAGCCAACAGGCTGGCACTCTTCTGGCATCTGCCTGCTGCGCCTGCGGCTGCGCCAATGGCAGCGCCGGCAACCGCCATGCCAGCCATCGCACCGAAGGACCGCGGTGCATCAGTGCTGGCACCCAGGCCCGCGCCAAGCGAAGGCTGCTGAAGACCAGACTGCACCTGAAAGCCTGCTGGAGCAAAGGCGGCGGGGCTGAAGCGGGCCAGCAGCGCAACGGCGCCGGCTGCCAGGCAAAGGGCCAACTGCGACATGGCTGAGCTACACCGGGCCTGCTGCGGAGAAGCCTTCAAAAACAGCTCCAACACAGTTCGGCATTTTCAGCAGATCAAAGATTTTGTTTGTGGGGGAGTCTGCGGGATTCTGGGGGGGGGCAATGTCGCACCACCTCATCGACACGGCAGTTTCTCCATTCCGGCAGGCCCACTGCGTCTGCATCCACGTTCCACTCGGCTCGGAAGCTAGGAGGAACTTATGTTATGTATGGTACGAAAAAAGATTAAGGAAGTGTACATAACTGAACTTCTAGCCTAGTGCATTTCGGTACAGTCTCGGTTCCATGTCTGGATACGCCTAGCTACCACCATCATCCCAAGAAGCAGCTCACAGCTCGTCTAAGAGGACCAGTCCACCAAGTCCAAGCCCAAGCTGTACTGCGTCTCCTCGTTCTCCTGTGAAAAGCTTGGGGGTTGCGGGAGGGTCCTGGTGGGAAATCTCTTGTGCCTAGCGTTGCAGCATCTTGACATCGCCGTGGCAAGCAAAGGGGCCAACTTTACATGTGTCCTGCAGGTACACACGGATGCTCAGGAAGTCGGTGGGGCAGGCCGTCTCGCAGCGCTTGCAGCCCACGCAGTCCTCCACTCGCGGGGAAGAGGCCACCTGCTTGGCGGCATTGATGGTGGCCGGCACCATCTCCAGGACGTCGGTGGGGCATGCACGGACGCAGAGCGTGCAGCCGATGCAGGTGTCATAGATCTTCACAGCATGGGAGCGGCGAGCCAACAGGCTGGCACTCTTCTGGCATCTGCCTGCTGCGCCTGCGGCTGCGCCAATGGCAGCGCCGGCAACCGCCATGCCAGCCATCGCACCGAAGGACCGCGGCGCATCAGTGCTGGCACCCAGGCCCGCGCCAAGCGAAGGCTGCTGAAGACCAGACTGCACCTGAAAGCCTGCTGGAGCAAAGGCGGCGGGGCTGAAGCGGGCCAGCAGCGCAACGGCGCCGGCTGCCAGGCAAAGGGCCAACTGCGACATGGCTGAGCTACACCGGGCCTGCTGCGGAGAAGCCTTCAAAAACAGCTCCGAGGAACAGTCAGAGTCTGGCATGCTTGACCACATGCAGCCATGAAGCGGGGGCACTCTGGGCACTTACTTCTTAGAGCTTGTTTTGCAACTCAATCTCTATGCCGTGGCTGACATCTGGCAGTCACCGGTGGCCGCCAGCTGCACGGTTCGCGAGTGCACCACTTGCTCTTGGCTCACGATCCATGGATCATCACCTGTGGGTTGGAAGAACTGGTAGTGGAAAGCCAACGAAACAAGCAATACGCGGCGCAATTGATTTAACGCTTCCCCTGCCTGGTCCTTTGTGATGATGGCTGTGACCTCAATCAAGAACTCCGCCACCTGATGCTGAGCAGCGAAGATCAACGTCACTTGAAATCACGACGATCTGAGCAAAAGCATGCAGACGCGCACCTCCTTTCGGATGTCGCCCTGGAGCTGCATGACACTGCCGTGGTCGGGATCCTTGATCAGCACGCCATTGGTCTTGAAGGTCCTGGGCTTGGCTCAACCCAATGCAACGCCAAAAAAAGAAACATACCCGGCACCAATGCTCTACATCCAGATCATCCAGAGGCTTGCTGAGCAAGCTGCTTCTTCAGCGCTCGCAGGATCTTCTCGAAGTCCACTTGGAGAACCTTGCCTTCAGCCACAGAGTCTGCATGCAGCCTCCATGTTAAGAGCCATCTTGGCCGAGGAGCCGGACTTGGGAAGGCGCACCTTCATGCTGAGGCGACTCGCTGAGGCGACAGGGAATGGGCGACGTCGGTAGCCGGGCCTGGTCCGGGAAGCCGGCGACGGTGGTCCAGGACTTGCGGCCGTTTCGCTGCTGCATACGAATGTGGACCTGAGCAGCGGCGCTGGACTGCTGAAGCCTCACGAGAACACAAGAACTCCCATCCGTAGCCCGGCCTTGCTGCCCTTGGCATCATCCTTCCCTTCCAACATGACGTCCATCGCGTTTGGTCACGAAAGTCCCGGGCGTTTGCCGGTAACGAAACGGGACACTGAGCCCGAGGCTGCCGGGACTCTGAGGGGATTCGCGAACAAGAACTTGAGAATCGAAGAACGCTCACGAGATTCGAGAGATTCGAGGCTTCGAGGCTTACAGGCTTCGAGGCTTGGGTTGGCTGCTGCGATTGCACAAATTACGCCGTTTGCGCACACATGGCAGTTCTCAAGCCCCAAGCTTGAGCCCTCGCCAACCTGCTGCCTAAACCTAGAATGACCTAGAGCAGCAAATCCGCACACTTGTGGTTCATGTCGGTGCTGCGTGAAAAATGCTAAAGCTGCACAGATCGATGTCTCAGATAACCTGTATGTAAGCATCAAATTGTGGACTTCGGCCTCGACAAGCGGGAAACGCAGAAAACCTCGCCAAAAAAGCAACCATGTCGGGTGCGGTCTGGAGTACCCACTCCGACTAGCACTTGGAATCCAGCCACCTCACTGCCACCTCCCGTCATCAAAGGCGGCGGCTCTCTTCCAATGTCGAAAAACATTCCAACCAGCCGTGGCCACCGGAGCTGCATGACACCGCAATGGACCGAATCTCTCGGATCAGGGCAGCGTTTGTCTCCAAGATGTTGGCATGAAGGGGCTGTCCTTGTGACACAAGAGCATGTGCATCGGCCCCGCCCTTGAGAAGAGCTCGGACACGTACCATTTTGGGCCGACATGCTTCTTCGTCTGCTGTCAGCTTGGACACCTTGCGCTGAATTTCGGCGGGCGGCTTTGCAACACCATTTCCATGGCTCAAGGCTCAACGTGTCGCCGGGCGCCGGCTATCAAGCCATAGATGTTGCAGCTTAACCTTCCGTGAATCATAAGCAGCACGAACTGGCCCCTATACAGCGAGACCACGGGATGGCTGCATCTTGAATCTTGAGAACTCCTAACTCTGACTGCTGTACCTCGGGAGGCTATCTTAGGCAGCACTCTGGCAACGATGCCTGGGACGCCAGGAAGCTCGTCCCAGTCCCAGAAGGCCCGAATGCCGGCGGGCATGGCCTCACAGATTTCCGAGCTTGAGTGTGCAGTTTCAAGTCGCCGACGCAAGCAGCGACTCAGTGGGCTCTGCACAGTGCTGCCCCCTTTGTCTTTCTTTCTTCCTGACCCAACCCGCCGAAGTGAGTCGCCGTGCTGCGTCTCTATCTCTCCTCCCCTATCTATCCTTCTTTCAAGAGTTTCTGTTCTTCTTCCTTTGCGCACTTATCCTGTCGTGTCTCGACCCGGTTTTATGTGTTTCAGGGGACGGAAGCCTTAGCCTCGCGCCCGACAACGCCTCCCATTGGGGCTTAGTCGAGAGTTCTCAATTTAGTGCGGGTTATGGTCATGGTTTTTCCCTTTGGGCAACCCCCCCCCCCCCCCCCCCCTTTGCAGCCCACCCACCCCCCCCCCCCCCCGCCCCTAGCCTCCACCATAGCAACAACTGGCAGTAGCAATCGCAAAAACACAAGTACTGGCAAGACGGTGCAAGGGCCGAGCAACAATAGAACAAAGAAGAAAAATAGTAGAAGTAGTATAGTAATCGTCGGCGTAGTACTATTTATAGATGACGGAGTAAAATATCATGATAAGAATAGTAAGAACGAAATGACAAAATAACAGCAATAACAATCACAAATGGAATGGTGTTGGAATGGTATTGGAACTGTATTGGGAATGGTCATGGTAAAGGTCATTGTAATGGTGAGAGTAAGTGCAAGAGTACGAGTACGAGTACTAGTAAGAAAGGGTAAGAGTAAGAATAAGAACAAGAGTGAAAGCAAGAAGAGTGTTAGAATAGTAGTAAACAAGAAATACCCAACCCTTCGTTGTTGTGACCCGTGCAAGCTTGCTTTGTGAAGAACAGCGGCCCATGAAGAGGACTTGTATTTAAGAACATTGTGTTTGCAAATGAGGGGGCTGCGCCCCCGCCCAACCCGGCACTATACTATTTTCTGCTTAGGAAGCAAGCCTGTGAAGAAGATCATGCCATGAAGACAACGTGCAGTAAAACATACGAATCCTTTCTCAACCTGGCATGCGAGCATTATGTTTAGTTGGGGGGGCTGCTCCGCTTCGTCACTGCAGACAACCCGCCCAGTCACAAGCATGTGGCAATTCCAAACCTGGGAAGCCCACACTAAGGCTCACACGTCCAAGCAACGCCAGCACCCGCGTCAGGCAGACATTAAAGAGTTCTAAACTGCGACGGGCCTGCAAAAGCAAATGGCCAGAGACGCGACATCTCTTGCATCAACTCGACGGCACAAAGTTTGCATTGGATTCAACGTCAGCCTCAGACGAGTCAATGCCTTGCACCTCACACACCCGTCAATGCCTTGCACCTCACACACCCGACCGAAGAACATCCACTTTTTCCACGTTCAAGCTTCTGCGCTCGACTGCAAACAGCCGGTCCTGAGATCAAGGGGCTTGGTGGCCAAGGATTCTAAGCTGATTCTTAGCAACCGATTTTGGTGCAAATGTCCATGGAATTGAAACCGAGCTTTGGACTGCTGATGTGTGCCGGGCAAGCCACAGGCTGCTTCGTGCAGTTACATTGTCATCATCCTCCGGCGTTCTTTTTGGTCTGCTTGCTGCTCTTGAGGTCCACTTCATTGGATGGAAGGCCAGTGTGACTTGAAGGCATTCTTCTTAAATTTCTTTCTGATGCTGATCGACTGCTGATGGTTGGAAACTGCTCTTCCTTCCATATGATGCAATCGGGACACGCCCTTCGGACGTGGCCCGCGAAGACACTTGAACACCAGCATATTCATGCTCCGGTTCTGTCAGCGACCGTTCCAGCTTCAGTGGCTGGGCCGCGCGCTATGAGCTAAGTACTGAACGCCCGCGTGCCCGAGAAAGTGCCTCCTGTCAGCAACAGGCAACTCACCCAACAACACAATTACATGACGCACCTGTCCATCAAACTGTTGATCCGCCCTTCATGCTTGATGCTTGTCCCACTCTGCCGCAGTCTGAGACACCTTGACCGCAGCATCCGCGGCCAGCTTGCTTGCAGATTGGGACCGAAACTGCATCCTCACAATCCAACAGGTAAGAATCCGACCACGAACCCTGGAGCACAAAGCTGTTCAACTATGACATTAAGTCGTGCCCCCTGCTTTGAACCTATACAATCGCTTACCATGTCGCCTACTTGAGCCAACATCTGGCATCTAAGCTCCAAGGCCTCACTGCTGCCCGTGGCGGCTGGATGGGTGCGGGAACATGTCGAATCTGTCCTTAGAAAGCAAGCGGCAGCACCACACGAACCTTCCTTGTCTTGTGCTCAGCAACACAATACGTGCTTGACTCCCCCGCTCTTGCCTGCTTGACATCCCTCAGCTCCTTGACCTTCCTGGGCCTCTCCCTATAAACCCTTCTTGCATCCAGCCTGCAGGGCATATGCTGGGAGGCCAAACCCAGCAAGGACTCCCCCCCACCGAGCATTCCCCGGATCTGCAGCGTCCCCCCAGGTCTCTTGCCAGAGTCTATGAAAGGTTGTTGCGCTACATGTTCACCCTAAATTCTGGGGTATCCGAGAAACAAAATTTCAAAAACAGTTCATATCCCACTGCATCAAGCACTTACTGTCAAAAATTGCCCATCTGTTCGGTCATCACGGCAGCGCTCGTCTGAGCCTCCACCGGTGCACGAACAAGCTAAGGTTATCCCAAATACCGAATGCAGTGTTGAAATCTTGCAGAGAGAATGAGGCATGTCAGCGTTTCAGCCACTTCAGCAAACTGATCCCGGGCAGGTCTACATGGACAACAAGTTCAGGGCTTCGCATTGATGGTGCTGAGCGTGGACATGCTTCCCATTGCTTCCCACTCCCTGCCCGACAAAGCACCGACGAAGCACGCCAGCGATGCAGGAAGCCAGCTTACGGTGTGCAGTTTGCACAGGAGGAGGAAGCAAGCAAACTGCAAACAACTGAGTTGCCAGAATGCTTCGTAGCCACGAGCCCTGCACCAAGCTTGGTTACGCCCCAGTGACCCGCAAAGGAATAGTGGACAATGCTGTCGGTCGCCAGCTGTGAACCGTAAGAAAAAACAATCTTACTATGCTCAAAGATACCCCCCTGATAGGCTACCGATGCTACAGCCATCGACGACAAGCGTCGCAACTGCGAGAAGAGCCGCCGGCGCTCTGCAGCCTCGGCGGCGATCCTTGGAGGATAGCAAAGACCCTTAGTCCCACCTCCCCTGCTCCCCTTGCGTTATCCAGGGGGTTGCTATGAGGTTGTCACACCTTTGATTTCGGGGTTTCGTCCGGGTGTTGAAGGCCTCCGAGACTGCTCTTCGCCAACCACTTTCAGTTGAAGTCATGGCTTCTGAAGTTGTCGCGACAGGGCTCTGCATGTGGAGCGCAGCTGTCTCTTCATCAACTTTGGCTTCGACAGCAGCTCGCACCTTCCTCGGCCCCCGGAAGTGCGTAATACCTAACGCAGTTCCAAGCTAGGTGTCCTCAAAGTTGTCCATACACATGTTGCAGGGCGATGCAACTCAGCAAGGCGAAGTTTGGGAGGCATGCGGCATGCCGTGATTGCGCGGAATCTTCTGAACCTCTGCCTGCAAACGCTGAAGATGAGGCCAGGTTGCTCGCGCTGCATTGCAGCCGTCGCAGCTGCCCGGAATGCAGTGGAAGGCGGCGCTGAGGGCAGTGCTGAAGCGGCTTCCTTGGCTTGCAGAGCAAGCAAACAGGGCTGGTATCCAAGTAGCTTGGTATCCAAGCAAACACTGGAACACGCATATTCTGATATGCTGTTTGGAGATTGCTTGCATTTCGTGCCTGGGACACCATCCCGAATCTGGATACCATCCCGATTGACGTCAGAATGCTGTGCGATTTCGGAAAATTATCCGAAGCATTGAAGCACCCACAGGTCTGAGGCACGAGCCGTGTTTGCTGACGGGCATCGGCATTCTTCAACAGGATCTGATATGTCAGTCTCTTCGCCTGCAAAATCTCAAGGTGATGAGCAAAGTCAGATCGCCCTTTCTTGTCCTTTCTGGAACTGGGTGCACCCCATCCCCTTGGCGTGGACGGTGCACGTGGGGAGGGGCCCGTTGTTTAAGCAGCGGCCCACATAAGGTGACTTTTGGCTGAAGCAATTGCCGCGAACAGTTGCTGCGTTCAGGGACGCCCCCTACAGTAAAGATTTTCCGAAGCCCTCACATTGGACTTCACGGGCGGAGCTTCGAAATTCTCAATTAGGGAACTGGTTTTCAAAACCGGTGGGCCTAACTAAGGCCCTCGAAGCATCTTATGGACCCCCTGAAGTCATGCTGCTTTAACGCGATTCCTAACCTTGCGGCCCAATTACATCCACTTACTATTCCACTTGCTCCAAGCAAAAAAATCTACACAGATCAAGACCTTCATCTGGCACCTCTCCCATCTTGGCCATCTCCAATTCGTCCCGGCTCAGCTCCATCAATACCCAGCGCATTTGAAGCGCGTCCTCTTTCCTGAGGCAAGTTTCGCTCGAATAAGAGTGACACGGCAACTTCCAGCAGTTGCGCGACCTGTGCTGGCAGAACGATATAGAGGAATTGCGCCGGAGATTCTCGCACAGCTGCGTGAACTCGGCACATTGCCCCGGGTCAGACGCCTCGGCCGGTGTCTCAAATTCAACTGCGGGCACGAGGCTTATGTCGAGTCGTCTGTTGTCTGGTTTGATTGGACGTGCCCATCCATGAATATCGACTGTCCGCTCCTTGCACATTTTTAATAACTCCCCACACACACCCAGAGAGGGAGACACAACAAACGCCCCCAGCACAACAACCTAACAAACCGATGAATGCGTGCTGGGCACATCAAATGCCATGGCTTGGCCACTGGACACTCTGATGCAAGGCCGGGAATGTAGTTTTGCATACACCACGAGGGCACATGCATGCTGCTCATCAAGTACACAAACTATCCAGCCAATCTGCTAACGTCGAGTTGGTGTTCTATCATGTCCTGGAAGCGCCCAACATGCGATGTGCTGGTCTCGGATATATACGCAGGCAGGGAATCAACGGCCAAGTGCTGAACACATCTATGCAGACGAGGTGCACAGCGAGCTCCTGCATGCTCACTGCTAAAACCAAGCACAATGGGCTTGCGCTTGGATTCTCTCATGAGGCCTGTGCTGTTGGACGTTCACGCGGATCTCTTTGCAACAGCCTGGGTGCAGCTTAGAGAGAAGCTATTTGGCATGACTTGTTGCAGGGGGTCCTGCGTGGCCATGGGGCCAGCTACATCTGGGGCCACCAACGCATCAAGTGTAGCCATCTGGCTCTTGGAATAGACAGATCGCGCAGACGCAGGGCACGAGTACCTCACAAGATCCTATCACACGCACCATTGTTTGAACATTGAACATTTATGAGCCCACCAGACAAGCAGTTCAACTTCGAGTGCAAACAACTTCCAACGCCTCCTTGAACCCGCCTTGGCCTCCCTGCGCCCTCTTATTAGGGCAACCTTCGGTACGTTTGCCCATTGCCTGCTTGCGAGGGCAACATTCCAGTACAAGTGCCCGCCCTGCTGTTTCAAGCGACATGCCATACCTGCGTACCTAAACCGAACATTGCCTGACGGAAAACAACCTCCGGACAGCGGACTTTGGACGGTAGCCCTTACGCCACACAATCGGAAGCCATCCTGCTACGTGTTCGGGAACCACCTCACTTGTCGGAAACCAATGATGAAAGTGCCAGGGGCAAGATCGGCCTTGCATTTATGTTCGCGAGTTTGCCATCCATGGGGAACGCGTGCACGCGAAAGAGCATCTGGCCACCAGGTGGGCATCAAAGTCCCTCCGTTGACTCAAGGCTATGTTGATCCGGCTGTACTGTGTATGTGCACTTGCTTTCCAAATCGCCTGGAACAAACACAAGCCCAGCATGAAGAGGTCGACCTGCCGTTTTAACAAGCACGCCAAAATGAAAGTCTGGCCATGGATTCAAGTATTTCCAAACGTTGCAACGAAAAGGGAAGTGAGCAGGCGGAGCGGCCTGACTCGTGATGGGGAAACGCACAAGGTCCGGATCCTCAGCTGTACAATGCTTAGCACATGATACGCATTGATACACACATGTTGCCTGAAGTTCCACTGCATATGTCCTTAAACATTCTTGATACAAATGGCACTTTGGCCGGTCAAAATCTGAGCAACCCGACTGCCAGTTCAGGAGGCCGAAACATGGGTGTTGTACGCTGTGTGAAGAACAACTCCACCTCAACGTCGCCAAAAGCTGGTGCCAGGCTATTGCCAGGCTATGAATCACAGCCCGGCAAAGCACTGCCTCCCGGACGACGTGGCGCGGCGTGTCCTTCCCGAAGTCAGGCCACCTGGCCACGAACATGTTCGAACATTTTCGGAACACATCCGCACCATTGCCAAAAACCGTATGAAAGCCACGGCTTCCCAAGGCGCAAGCTGCCGCGAATTTGCCGAGCCGAAGTCGCAAAGGCGGACGTGACGGCCATGGAATAAAATATTCTGCAGGGCACATGATGGTATGATGTGACGGTATGGATTTACGACAAACATTGCCAACATGATTGTATCATGCTGTCCCAAAAAAGGGTTTGAAAAACACGCACCTCCGGTTTCAAATCATAGTGCACCTTAACCATGTGCTGCACCAAGCCCACTGTTCATAAACATTGAGTCCGAAAGCGGTTGTTTCCAAGGCACAACTCCAAGGCTGTGCAAGAACCTCTGCCACGTGACCATTTGCGGACCAACAACTCACGACAAACAACGTGTCCAACATGTTTCTTTCAGCTTCGTAACGCCAATCCAGCCGCCACTTCCCGCACGATGTTTTTGATGTCCGCCTTACAAACTCCAGCGCTTAATGTTGGCTCGGCTTCACAGCAACGCACGTTTGCAGAGCAAACCCTCGCAATTTTTTGGCCTGCCAAACAATCCCTAACACCGACACCACATGCACCCACGAGCCTCTGCCATGTTCGGGCAACGCCTTGGAAGAAGAAGCCAACGCTTAAGCTTTGAGGGTTTGGAACCCTTAAACCGATCGACTGCAGGGCCTGCAGGCCTAAATTAAATACTGTAAGGCCTGGAAGGAAGCCTAAACTAACGACTGCAAGGTCTGGAGCCCTAAACCAGAGACTGCAGGGCTGGAGGCTTACCTAGAGGCTGCCAGCCAGGACCGGACGCCTAAACGAAAGTGCAGGATTCAAAAGCAGGATTTCGCTATGAAATCCTGCACGACATCATAAAACATCCAAACGACCTATCCAAACAGCATACTCCATGAAAGAATAACAATTTGTTTTCCGCACTATTAGCGCAGCGGCAGTTGGCTAGACCCCCCCGTACTAGTAAGTCTAGTAACGATTGAACTTTAAGAGTCACGCCTTAAGTGTATCTTTTCCGCCGTTGTTTTGTCCTGCCTGTTCCACAGCCCACGTCCACGACTGACCAGGCACGAGACATGTGGAAAGGATGGGGAGAGGAGACTCGCGCGCTGCGCCCTCGTCTGTGCTTTCGTGGAGCCTCCACCAATCTCAGTTTTGGCGTGGTTGCGTGGTTGGGCATGTTGGAGTTTCGGGACATCAGCTGCCGGGAGCTCCTAAAATTCCCAAAAAAAAACAGGCGACGTGCTGGTTGTTGAGCTGATTGCTTAGTGGCCCACTAAAAGCATTGCCCTTTCTGTTTCTGTATTTTGGCACGCCGGTTTTCCTCGCAGCTGTCTGTCCCAAATCGGCCGGAGCTGCTACTGACAGGCTGCGGGCGCCGCCTCAGGCACGCAGCGGCAAGCGGCTTGCAGCCACTGGGTACACGTGGCGAGAATCCGCCAACAAATCAGCCAGCGGGACAGGGTGAGAGCCCGCACAGCTAACAACATGCCTGTCCAGCGCTGCCGCCTGCCGGGCCGCAGCCGGAATTCACGGCGGCGCCCGCGCTTTGGAGGTAGACGGCGGAGGAAATCCGCCATCCCGGCGCCAAAGCGCCCGCCCACCTCGACCACCAGCACCGCTAACGAGACCCCTTGCAAACTGGCAGCCACGCCGCCCCCACACAGAAGGAAGCCAGCTCGAGCCGGAACTCCAAGCAAACGATGTTTCAAAGGGAAGGCAAGCACTGAAATGCCAGCTGCGAGCGAAGTCTGCTGTCTGGTCGTCGGGCTGGTCTGCTTGCGGGGGAGGGGCAGGTGCACAGCCGGGCCTGGGGTGTGAGTGCATCCCCCCGGAGCCTACAGCAAACATCAGCAGGCCCCTGCAGCTGGCGCGTTGTTTGTCGAGTCAAGCTACGGTCCGTAAGGAAATGGGACAGGTTGCCGGAAAAGCTTTCGACCTACAGGTATTTCCATTTCCACTTTGAACATTTCTATGTACTCAACAAATGAACTGGCCACAGTGCTGCAATCAGGGATCACGCATGGAGATAACGGCATGGCATAGGCCCACGATCATTTGTTCCGCGGGCTTTTTCTTTTACGCGCCTGTTTTACATCTGCTCGACTGGGGTCCGGGTCGGCATGTTTACGACTGGTTGTCAGCGGTCCCTGCTACTTAAAGGTTCATAGGTACTTTTCAATGGGTGATAAGTTACCCCCGACTTCCTCTGCTGCTTGCCCGTGCCAAACGCCGCTGGGGGTTGCCTGGCGAATGCGGGGGGGAGCCCTTGAGCCGCTGCACGTATTTGCCGTGAGGCCGGCGCTGTGGCCGGCGCAGCTGTGGCCACGAAATGTGCTGGTCCGCGACCTCAACCTCATTCAACGCCCTAGCTGCAAGGCATGATGAGCGGTTTGCCGTGAAGCCGGAGCCACTGTTGCACGCAACGTGTTGGTGCGAGACCTCAACATCCAACCTGCACGCGTCGACGACTGCCTCATAGAGGGCATCGCTAATGGGCTCCACTCTCGGGCGGAGCGCAACTGGCTGTCGACACGAGCGGTGTTGCACGCCGACACCAGCGGCAGTGCCGCGGGGCTGCGGTTCGTCGCTTCCTTGCAGCAAGTAATGCAGCATAATCGTGCCGCGGGGCACTCTCCGCGGTATATCCACCCGACCAAACGGCCATCGTGGCCACTGCGCGGCGAAAGAGCGCGCGAGTTGTCGCAAGCGTCACACTGCACACCCGCAGCGCTGCTGGCCCGTCTTCTCGGACAGCAATTCGGTCGCCGATGCTGCCCTGCCCACCAATGATGTGCCCGCTCGCTGGCGCGGCGGGAAGCAGTAACAAGGAGCCCGCACACAGCATGCACGCATGCACCAAGGTGGTGCGGCGGCCGGCGGAGCAAATTTTTTTTTTTCACACCTTTTTCCACCTGCCGAAATGAATGGTGTCCCTTTGTTGCTTAGTTCCCACCCAGGGCCTAACTCCTAGCTACTCCAGCCGGGCGCCGGGCCTGCCGCGGTCCTGCACTAGGGCCGCAAGGGCAAGCGACTGTGGCCCTGAGGGGCGGCCATCTGTCAAGTGGCGGGCAGCTTCTGGTTGCAGCGGCTGCAGCCAGGCGCCGCCCAGAGCTGTGCTGGCATGCTCCACCAACGCCTCGCCCAAGCCGCCGTCGATGCCGCGCGCACGGTATGCCTTGAGACGCACCAGGTCCCGAACGAAGCTGAAGGCCTGGGCGTTCCAGCGGCCGCCAACCTCGGAGCCCAGCACAACGAGCGTTTGTGGCCCTCCGCGTGAGTTCTGGGTACGCGGCATGCTTGCGGCACTCAGCTACCCGCAGTACGGCCCCGTCGACGGCCGCTGCGCATGGCTGTGGTTGCCCCGATCGCGTGAGCGGGGACACCAGCGTGGCATCGCAGCACTGAGCTCCCCTGCTGCTCAGCGCCCCGTACACAACGAGGTCGAGCCTGCGACGGTCCTGCGCTCCGTCGCATGCGGCGTTTCAAAGCGATCTGCATAGCCGCTGCGGGAGCGTGGTGGCTGGCTCCGTTGGGATCGCTGCGAGCCAGGCACCTGCCTGCGGTCCTGCCTGGGATCGCAAAAGTGCTTGGGAACTGGGTGGCATGTCAGGCAGCAGCGTGCGTTCGGGGAAGTGCGTGTTGAGGATTCGCGTCGCGCGCATCTGCCATCCGTGCGGAAAGCTGCCGCAAGGGTGGATCATGCATCTGGGAAAAAGCGTGTGAGGTGGCAGCTACAAACCGCGGCCTCAAGAACACCCAATGCCAGCGAAAAGAGTCGATAAAAGACCCCCTCCCCCAGGGAGAGGGGGCTACACCAGGTAGTGTCCGCAGACAGTTACCTTCTCACAAGGGCCGCTGGCGGGCGCGCCCCCTCCAACAGGGCGCGCCACGTTGGACAAGTTTGCCAGCCCGCCTCTCGCAGTAGCTCTCCTGCTTCCAGAAGTTCTCATGGCAGAACTTGCCGCGTTGCCGGAAGAAGCGCCGCTGAGCCTCCGGGCAGCCGTCGCCGCATGTATGGACCACGAAGGGTACCTTTCTGCCGCAGCGCAATCAGCGCTGCTCGAAGCATTCGGGGGCCTCGCCGCGGCCAACGAGGCGCACGACATCGCAATGCGCATGCAAGCAGACGCGCGGGCGGCCGCTGCCCCCAAAAAAAAGCAGCGGGCAGCTTGGCACTGACCCCGGACGCTGACGAGGGAGTCATGGCCGCCGCCGCGGCGAACAGTGGAAACCCACGCGGCCGCGGTCGCCGAGGACGCGGTGGACGGGAGAAGGGCTGTGGACGCTGCCCCTCGACCAAGCATGCGCCGCCGTGCACGCCCATGAGGATGATGGCGAGGCAGTCCCAGAGCCTGCGCCGACACTGTGCCCGCTGCAAGTCAGCGAGCTTCTTAGCCAGCGCATATACACTCTCCAAACGCCGCCTAGCCAACTCAGAGGACTGCTGCGAAATACCTTTCGAACGGGAGGTGAGACGTTGCGCGACGCCGCCACCGTCGAAAACGAGTGTGACGGATGGAAGCTCTTCATGTTGGCGCTCCGCATGCTGTTGTTCCGTGCGCCATGCCAATCCCGCGTGCCGGTTGAGGAACTGCGACTCGGCGAACAAGCGTTCCTGGCGGGGCACTGGCCCGAACTGCTCCGCCATGGCACAGCCGCAGCAACACCAGCGCCGAGGGAGGCGGCCCGGCCTTCCGAGGATATAATGTCGCAAGATGTCGCAAGCGGGGTGACGGGGTGCGGGTCTGGCCCATTTTGGCGAGGTTTTTTTGCGAGCATTCCGCGGCGGCCAAGGCGCTTACTGCTATGACGATAAGACTGCGCGCAGCTGTTAACCCATGCCACCCGCAAACTGGATCATACCCGCCCTGCGCCTCGGCCGAATGGTGCTATCCACGACGGGCGGCGTGCGAGTTTTAGTGGGGCGATGCCTTCCGGCGGGTGGTTACGCGCACACTCGCGCAACAGTATGGCGACGAGTTCCAGCGAGCGTGCGCCCGCTTCCTATGCGCGCTCAGCACAAAGGCTGGGGCGGAAACGTTACAGCGGCTGCTGCGGCGGCCACCGAACGTGACCCACGAACCACCGTACTGAGCGTCGATGGCGTCGGGGCGTACGACCACATCTCGCGCCACAGCATCGCGGCAATAGCGGTGCGGCCTGAGCTGAGCGAGATTTTGCCGTACGTCCGCGCTGTTTTATGGATCCCCCAGCACCTACTTGTTCTCCGACGCCCAAGGCACAGCGCACGAAGTACGCCAGGGAGAAGGTGGGGAACAGGGGGACCCCCTAGCGCCAGCCTTGTTCGCATTGAAACAGCATGGTCAAGGTCAAGCCTGATGCCCGAAGGCGGCCCATTTAAGGCGCAGGCAGTGAAACAATCAAATGCGACGACTAATTGCGCGGCTCATTGCTTTGTAACGAAATGAATGAAATCATCTGTTTGTCGTAACCACCATTTTGAATCAACAGCTGCGGACTTCCAATTTCCCAATTGACGCCAACGACAATACATCATGAGTGCATCTTCCCAATTGCTAGGCTGCCTCCCAGCCTGAACACGTCGGGGGTGCCATTCCAACACACGAATCACCAATCGATCACGTGGCAAATTTGCAATGTAAGTGGCCAATTTCCAGTAACTTGCCAATGACTGTTCCCTCCAGTTTGTTAACGAGCTATCATGGCAGGCATTCCGAACTTTGTTGTTCCAAGCATGAAGAGTTTCATGCCACGGGTCATCCCATGAAATGTTTCCAGGTGGTCCCACCACTGCACGAAGCAACCTTTTGTACTCAACATCCATCCGGTGCAGGTCGGGTTTGTGAATGGTTCTGTGTCCCGCTGCGAAACAAGCCACTGGCGAAACAACGGCATCGAAACAGCATGTCACGCGGCATTGACGGCAGTGCAAGCCCGCCTACGCTCGACAGACCAACTCGTCGCCTTCCTCGACGACGTATACGTCAGAGGCCCGTCAGAGCATACGGCGAGCCAGTTCCACATCGTCTGCGAGGCCCTTCTCAGGCATGCGAACATTTGCGTGCACCTCGGCAAAACCCGCGCTTGGAACAGCGCGGGCGAAGAACCGCCGGGGCTGCTCTCAGCACTGCCGCCAGACCCCACGAACCCATGCTGGACTAGCAACTTTGCTGGCAGGGGGCGGGGGACCTTGGGACGCTGCCGGAACTGAGTGCGCGGCGAGCCGAGCTCCCCCTTCGACTAGGAAGCTTGGGGCTCGGGTCCACTGAAAAGCAACGTTACGCCGCCTAATGGACATGGCTACACGTGAGCTATGGACAGGTAGGCAAAAGTTCAGCCTGGGATGACATTCCGCGGAATGACGAAGTGACGGCACAGCCGCGACTTCAGCATCATGGGCAACAGCAGCATGCCGATCCAAGGCGGGACACATGCAGCGACGTCTCCATGCTGCCACGGCACTACCGCTGCTGCAGGCCTGAAGCAATCCTAAAGCATAGCGAAGGACTCGTGCAGCAAGACCCCCTATGGCTGCCAGCAGGCTTATGAGCATAAACGCCCAAACAAACTGAACTCGCTTCTCCACACTTCGTGGCGAAACAAAGCCCAACCTAACTCACCTAACACGGCCGCGCCGGGAGGTTCAGGGGGCCGGCCACTGCAAGAAGCGACGGCCCCTCCAGCGTAGCTTTTTAGTTTGACATCATCTGTACAACACGAAAGCACATATGAATAAAACACGCTGCACCGAAAACCTGTGTGCAATTGGCGATTCTCCGCCCATGCCAGGAACTGATGCAATTTGCGGGTATTGTTTGCATAAACACGTTTTCCGTGCTTGTTACGCTTCCGGGAAAATTGGAAAACGATGCACCACTAACAATATTCCGAAATCTCGGGCACGTGGACATCATGAAGGGTGAAGTATGGTGAAGTTGAAAGTGTGTGTCCTACAACCCAGACACCAGTCTTGTCAGGGCGCACCGGGGCCACCAAGGTCACAGCCCCGCGGACAGTCCTCCGTACTCCGGAATTCTGGTATCGGGGTTCGAGGGGAAGGCCGTGAAGGCACGAGACAGCTGCAGCGCCCCAGACGTTGAGTCCCGTTCGGGAAAGGAGCGTCTCGAGCACGGCTCAGTGGTGGCCGCGTGCTGCACCCGCCAGGGTTACAGCGTTCGGGTTGCCTCGCTGCTTTCGGGCTCGTCACAAGCAAGTCGGCCCAGGTTGGCGCAAAGAAGCCAAGCCCGCGCAGGTGGCGCACCGCGTGGTCTGCATGCGCGTACTGAGGGGTGTCCAGCAGCGGGCGAACCAGGTCAACGAGCACGCCTGGGTGATGCCCGCTCAGCGTGCACAGGGTGTCCGCCCACGAGCCCCATGTAGGCCGTGTTTTTGCCGGAGACGGTGCGTGACACCTGGATGTACGCGTGGCGTGCAAGGGCTTCCCGAATGTGGCCGAACTGGCTCGCGGCGCAGTCGGGCGAACCAGACGTCATCGAGGAAAGCGTACGTGTCCGACGGGTGGAGTCGGGCACGGACCTCCGGCAACGCCCGGTCCTGGCATTAAGGGATCGCCTTGCTCCCCGCGTTCCCTTGCCGCACTTCGTGTGCTGGCCCTGCGCATCGTAGAAGACGTAACTAAGCACTGGGGGAGCCGTAAACAAGCGCCACGTACGGAAGAAGGCCGGCCAACCGGGTCGGTCTGCGAGCGCCGAGAGCATGCTTTCCCCATGCGGTCATGGGCCCCGATGCTGTCGACGTTGAGCACCATCGTCCGAGCATCCGTTTCCGCGGCCACGGAAATGCGCGCCACAGATCCGCAGCGCCGTCATCCAGGGACGTGGCGGAAACATGGAGGAAGGGAACGTCCAGCATGTTAAGCCACGAGTTACGCACCCCGGTACTTTTCTGGGAGGGCCCGCCATTTGCCAAGGGGCCTCCCCCGGCAACGTCGGGGCCACCTTTCCGGCATGACGAAGGGTTTCGCGTCCCGGGGCGAAGCGATCGATGTATTTACGCTGAAGGTGTCGGAAAGTGTTTGCTTCACTGGCGGCGCGAGCAGCGCGATCGGCCGGCAACGCCGGTGGGAGATGTGAAGCTGCAACAGCTGCGCAAGGACGCTGCTGACGGCAGTGCTTAAGCAGCTCGATGTCATCAAGCATAAGTCCACCCAATTTTGAAGCCAGCGTGTGGAAGCACTTGACGAGTGGCCTCACACCCTTTGTCGAAGTTGCATAAAAATCCTGGAGCACGTTTTCAAGTCCTGTGTGCAGTGGTCAACATTAAGTTCAAACCCCGTTGTCACGCTTGAAAGTCTGTTTTGCCAGGGTGGGCGGCGTATGTGGATCTGCCCACAGGCATGCGTCTGCTTATAGGGATGTTGAGCATTCGCGCCGGCATCGAACAAGCTCTGCTTGTCGGACTTTGAACAAGCTGGGACGATATGGCAACAGCTTTAAATCGATTTTGAAGCCATGCGGGTGAAGTCGCAAAGCTTACTGTTCAAGCAACTGAATGGGTGGGTGAATGAGTGCGTGCGTGAGTGGGCCTTGCAGGCTGACGGGCAGCCCCTTTTCACGAACCCAAAGACTGTTTGCGATGCCGAGGGGCATTGTCGTTTCCCGCTCACCGTGCAATATTCCTGAGTCTGCATGTGGAACTCTTACGCGCGCAACCACTCTCATCAACATGTGCGACATTGATTTTTGAAGCCCGAAGGTCGATCGAGCAAGCACCCAGCATCGCACCACTCCATTAGAAGCTGCACCTCTTGACACGATGCACAGTATGTTCTCATCCAAGCATTAAACCCCGTGTTGGGAATCCAGCTTCTGCCCCTCCTCGGCCTTGACCCGACAGTTCCTCCACCGCAACAAGCGACAGCATTCCAGCCAGCAGTCACAGAACAACGACAGTCCAAGGTGGCACATGGTCCTGGTAAGAGAAGAAACGCACCAAGAATTCTTGACCTGGACGTCCTCTGCCCTGCCACACATAGCCGACCCGCACTGAACCGATCATACCACCAAGCCTCCGTCACTCTACGCTGAATTCAACCGGAACTTTTTTGTCACACAAGCACCTGGATTGACGCATATAACAGAGGCTTAAGTTCAAGCTGCCCCCTGAGGCGAGACGTACTTCCAGCCTGCTTCGTGGTGCATGGTCTTGTGAGGGTTTGGGGATGAGGATTGGTTGACATATTTGCTATATGGTAGCAGTGGTAGCAATTCGGTGTTTGTCGTGTTGCTGGCTGGATAAGTTGGATTGATCCAGCTTCAGCTGTCATCCGTTTCAACAGCCTCCATTTGGCTTCGGTATTTGCATGCCGTTGCCCGGCATTACGTGACGTTGAGACACCGTGCAACTCAAGCTGTTGGGTTGCGCTCGTGCTACGGGCGTCGATTTTTGCATTCCGGTGCCAACTCAACCAAACCGCGATTGAGTCGACAGTTTGCAAAGCGGGGGAAGGCGTTTCCACGAAAATTGATGTCGCCCAAAAGCTCAAAAGGAAATCAAGAATGTCTGAGTCTGAGCTGTCCCATTTTGGCACCAAAGTATTGAACAGAAAATGGAAACTGCCAATGGTTGGTCTCGGCATGTTGGACGAAAGTGTCTGAATCAATCGGCCCTGTAAATTCAACCACCTCTAATTGCACTGCGTAATTGCAAAAGATACCCTGCCGTTTTTTGAAACCGACTGCCATCATCATCCGAACGCTTTGCAAACCATCCACAAGGCTGACCGAATCGCTTGAGACTCGCCAGCGACGAAAACAAGGTCAGGGAACGAACGAAGAATGTCTATGCTCGTCATGCCAATAACTCAAAGCAAGCAAAACGCCGAGGATGGGCCTCCTCGGCCGCCTGCCGCAACACGGCCACTTCGCTTCGTGCAAAATCCAATCGTTCTTCATCCTGACCAATCATCCCAAAAAATGTTTGCAACTCTTGCCACCTGAAGTGCAGAACGGAAAAGATCCAAAAGCCCATGCCGCACGCATCACGCATCCTGACAGATGGTCTTCTTCAAGGCCATGGTCCGCGGGAGATGTTCATCAGCAGGTCCGCGATCTGAAATCAAATCAACCCGCCTGAGCTACAAAGCAAGCATGGCGAATTTGGGAACTTCGTCTGATATGTGGAAGCTGAGCCACCATATGCACGAAAATCCTCCTTCCCCAATTTTCGCAACTTCACGTACTTGCAAGCCATCCACGTCATGGAGTTTGGCCTTGGATAGCCAGAACTCGCACGCGGGCTTTTCACACGCTGCGGGCACATGCGACATGGTTCATGGAAAGATTTGCCTCAAATCCAAGTTGCCCGCAAAGCCGCGCACCATGCAAACATTGCATGGCGAAAAATCGCATAGCTTCTTTTCTTCTCAGAAACCCAGCTTTTGTTGTAAATGTCAAGAACATGACCTCATGGTAGGTTAAACATGTCCACCTTGCGCTGGTCTCTTGCTTTTAACGGATGAAATGAAGGCAACGCAAGCAACGTGGGGGTCATGTGTGGTGCATTGTGTTTGCTATGTTTCGTTGCAGACATCGGCTAACTATGCTATTCTTGCACATGTTGTTCTTCGAGTCACTTTTTGTCACCTGTGAAGATGTTCTTTGCTCATCCAGGCGCAAAACGTGCTGATGTTTGTTTACTTCTCGTGGGGGCAGCCCATCAGCTCGAATTAGTGCACGCAGTGTCCATGCCGGCACTGTTACAGGCGTTTACAAACTCGAAAATCATGTACAAGCAATCTGCCTGCCACTTCACGGCTCAGACATGCCGTCGTTGAGAAACATATCAATCGTGCGTGCCAGATATACCAGAAATGGGATTCGCAGATCTCATTAGTCAATTCCAACTGGATCTGTCTGTCGAGTGCTTCAATGCCTGCACATTCCTAATCAATCCGAGCATCAACAGTTTTGGAATTTCTCGATGGCCCCTTGTTCTTTCTGTGAACGTTGCGCCAAGGGAGCAAGCAGCTGAGTAGACCTGGCCGTAGCTGTGAGCCATCTCCGCTTGCAGCAGTTTTGCGTGTCAGCCGCTTTCGACATTGACCTATGGTCCCGCAGTAAACCCGAAAAAGCCCTTCATGCCTTTCCATCCCCAAAGAGCCCTATATTGCTTAATTAAGGAATACTCCTTAACTCATATAGGGATCCTTAATATGATTTAAGGTATATTCCTTACTTAAGCAATATTGGGCTCGTTGGGTCGTGGTTCTGCCCAGTTTCCCAACACAGCCCAGGGCAACTTCGACATGAACCTCTGATTTCTCACCGTTCCGAGGGCCTGTCAAGGGCTTAGGCTTGGCTCCCTGCTCCCCATCTTCACATTCCTCCCGACCAGATTGGCTGAGACTGGCTTCTCCCAGATGGTTCCCGCGTGCGCTCTGGAAAGTCTACAAATTTTGCACATAATAGGTCTTTTTTTGGGATCCGTGGCCAGCGACACAGTGGCGCCTGCTCAAAGGGCGGGCGCAAAAGACTCTGATAAACTTTTGCCAAAGAGAGCGGCAGACACCACCGAACATTCCAAGTGCGTAAATGAGGACGGAACGTTTCTCCACTGGCTCCTGGACCGAAGAGCTTGCAAGCTGCATCTCCTTGATCGGATGTTTCCAAAGACATCGCACCCGTTTGGACCGCTTGGCTCTGCAATTCAAAAACCTCCACCTTTTTTGGGTTTTGGGCTTTGGGAAGTTGCCAACATTCGACGCCACGGGTGATCCGACAATTCATTGAACTCCATGACTTGTTGATTGAATCCCTTATAGAAAATAATACAATGTATGCTATACAACTGGCCAGTATAGTTCTATAGTTCCTCTTTTTGTTTTCGAACCTGGGTTCGATCCAGGCAAATTCTTGACCCCTCCGGGGGGTGGAGGGTGCTGGGAGAGAACAACAACATCGACAATTTTCCGTGTTGGGCAAAACTCGTGCATACCAGAGGCGGCTACCTCCGCCTAAGAGGTTGTCACCTGGGCGCCGGCTTCCTCCGGGGCCGCGGGATTGGTAGCGTAACTGCCAGAGGCTGGTGGCGTTGGCGATGGGGCCGGATGCGAGCTCCGATCAATCGGAGCGCGCTGCAATCCGAAAGCTTGCCCAGCAGCAAGTACATTTCGTCTGCCTCCTGGCCTCGGTTGCTGACCACCAGCATCGTCGGTAGAACATCCTTCTGGTATTCTGCTGCCATAGGCCTACCTAGTTGTAGAACCTTGAAACCCTGCGATTCAGGCATTTAAACCCAAGCCCATTTGGGCTTACGGTTTAAGCCGTAGTGGGCCCAAAAAGGTTCAAAGGCTTCAACTCTACAGGAGCTGAAGGAAAACATGCCCAGACCTTACTTGGATTTTTTGCCTAGCGGCAAAATGGGGGTGCGAAGCACTCTCCCGCTATGTCTGTAGCCTCCGAGAAAAAATTGCGCAAGAAGCAGAACAGAGACCTTACAGTTGCAAAATCCATCAGTTGCAAAATCCAAAACTAAACTCGCGGTCTCAGCTGCAGTATAACAACTACTACTACTACTACTACTACTACTACTACTACTACTACTACTACTACTACTACTACTACTACTACTACTACTACTACTACTACTACTACTACTACTACTACTACTACTACTACTACTAACTACTACTACTACTACTACTACTACTACTACTACTACTACTACTACTACTACTACTACTACTACTACTACTACTACTACTACTACTACTACTACTACCTACTACTACTACTACTACTACTACTACTACTACTACTACTACTACTACTACTACTACTACTACTACTACTACTACTACTACTACTACTACTACTACTACTACTACTACTACTACTACTACTACTACTACTACTACTACCACCATTTTATTGAACGCTGAGTGAGCGGGCTCTGCTCATAGCGGGCGATTCTGAAACTTCGGGAGGCGCCATGCCCTTGTCTTCCCCGGCCCGTTAGACGTGCCGTGCCGTGGCCAGCTCCGCCCTTCGGACGTGTCTTGACCATTAGCTAAGCCCATTGAAACGTGCCGTTGCCAGCTTCTTCCAAAGGATCCGCCTACGCAAGAACTGACAAGCCAAACAAGACCAAACCCGAAAAACAACCAACACTTGGAGCTGGCGCGGAGGAACTGCATTGCAATAATCGCAGCTACCTGCCTTACTACAAGAATAGAGTTTAAAATGAGGCCTGCTTGAGCTGGCTGCACAGCTGTAGAAACAGGCCGCAAATCGGCTTTACATGATAACTGAAACTGCCTAAGGCTCAGCTCAGACTCACTTGCTTTTGACTGTCTTACTGGCGCCGGTGGGTCGTACCCAGATGGGCCGACACCCTGAGTTCCCGTCTAGTGGCGTCCCACACTAGGTAACTTATAACAACCAGCGGAAAGCCGTAAGAGTTCAGCCAGTGAAGCCAAAGGGTTCTTGGATGCCCACAACTGTGATGCGGCAGTGGCACATCGCTCATCAGAAAGTCTGTGCCCAGCCGTGTTGTGGAGCCATACTATAGTGCAGAAACTGCTAGAGGGCGAACCTGCTCCTCGCCTTAAGAGCGAGTCCGGGCTCTTGCACCCCGCTGCAAGACAAAGCGTTGGTGTCACGTTGGGGCCAGCATTACCCTCAAGCAGCCTGCGCATGTGGCTGGTCGTACTTCAGAACTGTGTTGCAGTGTTCCAACACTTTCTGTAGACAAGACGCCCCGCTGGGCCACAAGGGCACCCCATTGAAAGACATCAGGGTGCCTCTCTCTCTTGCTGAAGGTTTTTCAATTGCACTTTTGCGCGCCGCCAGCCGGCCTCGCAAAAGGCCTCGCTTTCTGAAGCTCTGTGGGCGCTCTGGCGGCACTCTGGCCACTTGGCTGAAAATGGGCTGTGGCAGGCTCTGCGTGCATTTCTGGCGCCAGCGTGGGTGCAGAAATGTGGTTTTCTAGAAGCCAGGGAAAACGGCTGTGGATGCATTTCTGCTGAGAGGTCAAGCGTGCTACGGAAGGCGTCGCAAATCGACTGAGCATCAAAAACAGCAAAGCATCAAAAGGGACCACTGGGAGCTCGAAGCAAGCCCTTAAACTGGCCGTTGGGAGCTCGAAGCAAGCAGTTGAAAGGCTCTAAACCCCTTAAACTGGCCTCTGGGAGCTCGAAGCAAGCAGTTGAGAGGCTCTAAACCCCTTAAACTGGCCTCTGGGAGCTCGAAGCAAGCAGTTGAGAGGCTCTAAACCCCTTAAACTGGCCTCTGGGAGTTGGAAGCAAGCCGTTGAGAGGCTCTAAACCCCTTAAACTGGCCTCTGGGAGCTCGAAGCAAGCAGTTGCGAGGCTCTAAACCCCTTAAACTGGCCTCTGGGAGCTCGAAGCAAGCAGTTGAGAAGCTCTAAACCCCTTAAACTGGCCTCTGGGAGCTCGAAGCAAGCAGTTGAGAGGCTCTAAACCCTTGGCCTCTGGGAGCTCGAAGTAAGGCGTCTGTGATAAAAACGCATCCAGAGCACCGGCGAGCATCCAGAGCACCAACGCGGAAAACAGCATCTAGAGCATCAAAACGGGGTTAGGGTTTGGGTGTGGGAAGGCCCGAAAATCTTAGCAAAGCAACTTGAGCACTGTGCCTGGATGTGGACGGAGCCTCGCAGACAAGAAAGGTGCACTACAAACCTGGATCACTGAGCAAGGAATCATCTAGAAAATCAAGTCTGGCCCACATGCACTGCAACAAGCGATTTCAGCTCTGTCGTCGGCCGGGCGACGCGGTAGCAGACTGTGCGCGACTAGCGCTTTCGCCGAGTCATGACTGTAGACTGTAGCCCTTCAGATGGGCGATTGGTGGATGCCCTGTTATTGGCACCATCCCAAAACGTGCATGCAATTTGCCCCCCCACCTCCCAACACTTTGTGATGTGAAGGCGTTTACGGCGGCTGTGCTAGGCAAAAACGTGCAATCAATTTGCCCCCCCACCTCCCAACACTTTGTGATGTGAAGGCGTTTACGGTGGCTGTGCTAGGCAGAGGAATGCAGAAGAGAACCCCATTCTTTGTACAACGATGCCCCCCTACCATCCAACAGCGTTGGAGTTTACGTGGCTGTGCTAGGCATCTGCGGCTCACTGAGGCGAGCTGAGAACAACTGGCAACGCGTGTTTTTACAAAACATTGTTCAGCACACGTGCTTTTACAACTGGTAAAGTTTCAGCATAGCCCTCCCCAGAAAACACCTACAAAACAAGCCATCGGACTCAGCCAAGAGTTACTGTACAACCTACAGGCTTGTGAAAAGCTTGCATTTCATGGGCAGCTCATTGTCTTCATCATTCGTGTTGTCCTTGTCATCTGAGGAGGAAGAGGAAATCTTCTTCTTCGCGGCCAAAGCTAGAGCCGTCTCGCTGCGAACCTGCAGGGCTGAGGCTTGGCCATCACTCAGCTTCATCATCACGATCTTGCCCTTTGCGACGTCTGTTGCACAGGCTCCCCTGCTCTCGCTCTTCAATCCCAAACGCGCCATGAGTGGCACGACCTCCTCGCTCAAGCACTGAAGAAAAGCTGCGGCCAACTCCTTGAACTCGATGACGTTGGTTGCTTGGCCACGGGCCACTTGCAAGCAATGCTGGTCAAGGAACACCTTGAAGCGCGCCATTCGCTGATTGAGCTCCTGCTGCATTTTGACCAAGACTTCGCGCATTTGAGGAGGCCTGGGAAGCATCAGGCATCCGGGGTTGATGGCTGGCTGGAGGGTACGGGCCAATCCCAAGATCCACCACTGCATTTGCCCATGGAACTCCCCGCGATCCACTCTGCCTTTCAGATCATTGCTGGCTTCCTGGTAGCCAATCGGCTCCGCTGCAAAGATGCCGTCCAGCACGAAAATGTTCATCTTAGACGCCAGGGCATCGTCCTCAAACCGCGGCATAAAGTTGGAAGACAACCACACCGAGACTTGACTTCCCCAGTTCGCCATTGCTTGGTGAGATCTTCGGGAGGCAGCCGGCATGCCCTGGTGCTCGCAGAGTTGTTTCAACATACTGCTGCGGAGACGGCTGTGCTGGGGGACCTCCGAAAACACAACCATGCGCTTGTTGCAACAAGCGTGCTCCACCTCTCCAATGCCCTTGGCGTTGCCGACGCAGTGGTGGCCTGAAATGGTGAAGGCATATTCATCAGGCTGGCCTCCCAGCATCTTGTACAGCAGCGCCAGCAGAACATCCTTGCCAGCCCCACTTGCGCCGAAGAGATAGTTGATGCCCTGGACTGCGAAGATGGGCGATGCGGTCATGGCCCAGTTGCGGCCCAAGAAAACAACCCTGCTCCTTACACGCAACGAGGCAAAAGAACTGGAAAACATGATGCATCTCTGCAGCTGAGGCTCCAGTCGCGCAAGATGCCCTTCACGCGCACCAGAAGTTCGCAGCCAGCCTCGCACAAGTCTTCCAGGGTCTTGATGATCTCGCGGCCCAAGTCACTGTTTTCAAGGCCCAACTTGGCAGTTTCCCGATCCACGATCCATCTGCAAATCATGGCAAAAACGTCTGGCAGGTGATCTGGGGCCACCCATGGCGCGAAGTCGCATGCAGTCTTTGCCATTAGCCTGTGTTGTGGCAAGGCTCGGTAGCTGCGGTTGGCCGTGAAATCCCAGACCATGCCATTGCGGAAGAGCATCTTGTCCCTCGCGTGCTCGCCATCAAGTTTGCTCATGCGCGGGCCTTCCGAAAGACGGCTCAGGACTCCGTCAACCAAGGACTTGGCAAACCGCGGCTCAAGCGGGTGCAAAAGCGGTAGGCCCGGTAGCGCCAGTGACTTGAGCACATCCAGGATCTTGGACGGGAGCGCCTTGCGCGGGATGACCTTCCATGCGCCGGTGGTGGAGTTGAAGACTTCGCATGAATCTGAGCTGCCATCCAAATCCACATAGCACCGCCCAGCAAGGACTGCCGCCACATACCTGCTGAATGCGCCATTGTTCTGGGGCGCTTTTCCGGCCGTCGCGAAGTCCCTGCACTCAGCCTTCAGCTTCGCAAAGTCCCTCCATTTCATAGGAGACTCTTGCTGCCAATCGAGGTGTGGCCACACATTTGCCGCCAAAACCCATGGGTCCGTTGCTGGCACCATCTGGAAAGTGATGTCGCCGGCAAGCAAGCCGTTGATCCTGTCCACATGTGCCTGGGCATCGCGCTGCGGGCAAGCTAAATCCAGACTGTCTTGGCCAAAGGTGGTCGCCCTGACATCTTGGAGAAGCTGGGTAACCTTGTGCATCAAATCGGCCTGACAGGAATGCTACTCTCTGCTTACAGCACATGTTCCAGTCATCTAAATGGGAACACTCTCCTACAGCAAGGTACCTCAGCAAGTCGATGCAGGTAGTTCAGCGCATGCGCCATGGGCATGTTGCTGTGGTCCACCAACCACTGCTGAACCTTCCGCGGGTGCGTTTTGAAAGCAGCGGTTCTGACTGCCACAAGCTCCTGGCGAAGGTCCTCCGCGAATTTCAAGGTCTGGCAGGCGGACGGAATCTTGGAGAGCTTCTTCTCGAGCCAACTCGTAGGGCACGCTCCCTTCGCCACATCCACGAAGAATAGCGCGGCCGTCTGCGCATCCAAGCCTAGGTCGGACGCGACCATGCGCACACAAGCGTTGAAATCTTCGGCTAATTTGCTCAACGACGGCGGCACAGTCATCTCCAACACCTTGCCAACGACCATCTTCAGCAAGGAGAAGTGGCCGTTCTTAACGCCGATTGTGCTGCGAGGCAACCCGCTGCGGGCAATCAAGCGCACAACTTCGTGCATGAAGGCCGTTCCCATGCCATCAAACAAGACGCTCTCTTTGCGGGCTCTCTTTGCAGCAGGCTCATCCCTCTGCAGCTTGCCGCTGTGAAGATGTCCCCTGTAGCCGGGCGGAGCAGGACCTTCCCACAAGTCAAAGTCGAGCTTGCCTGCGCCAGAGGTCGGCTGCACATCACACGTGCGCTGCGCCAGGCTCACGAGCTGGTCAAACAAAGGAGTCTGTCGTACTGCATCGCGACTGAGAGCATTCACCACCGCCTTGTAGTTGACTTGCTCTGTGCACTTGACATACTGGGGCTTTGACGACATGGGAATGGGAATGACCGGCACTTCTGACGTCTCCATGTGCATGACGCTGAGGGCGTCGTCCACGGGAACCGGCACTTCTGACGACTCCATGCGCATGATGGGAATGGGAATGTCCGGCTCTTCTGGAATGTCGGTGTCAGAGCTGCCTGTGGTCTCGAAGGAGGGCGACATTTGCTGCGCACTGTCTAAGTCCTGACCCGTAAGAGCGCGCTCAGAGCGCTTCTTGCACTTCTCACATTGGCGGGTGTTTTCAGGGACTGTCTCCATGGCATCCAAACCATCTGCCACGACGCCGCACACAACCTTCTCATCTTCAACCAAGTGCCACACGCCAGTTCGAGGGTTGACCAACATGTCTCAGGCGGAGTTTGTACACGATGACTACGTTTGCAAGCTTGTCAAAAAGGCTTTAGAAACGCAACCTTTAGGTGTGGATCAACAGCAAGGCAACATAGGCTCTAGAAAACTGCAGAGATTTGATTTCAAGCGACGCCGGCCTCTTTGCCCCCAAGCGGCCACGCTCAGCGATGAGCTCAAAAACGAGCTCAAAATTCAAAGCCTAGAGGCGAGAGTCCGGGATCTCTGAGATGCAGGGCAGTAGGGTACGGGTCGAGGACAATGGGGACAGCGCAGGCCCTCGAGCACACGGCACGGTGGCAAAACCCTGCACCTCCAAAGTCCGAAAAACCCCACAGCTGAGCATCGCGGCGCGAAGATTGGACCAGGACGACTGGAGGGTCGAACGTCTAAATGACCTGAGCCAGGCGCTGCGCCCGAAATTGTGCAGCTTACAAACACAAAGGCAGTGCCAAGACAACCGAACAGCCCGGACAAGACACAGTTTCCTTCGCACGCTGCTCTCGTTCCGCTACACATCGGGATCTGGACGACTTGCGCGTCCAAACGCACCCGCCCACCTTGGCGGGGGGGGCTTCATCTTTGCAATGGCACGTGGGTTGGCCTTCAGCACAAATGTCTGAAACACCTCGGCGCTGAGATTGAGCTGATTCAGCATGCCGTCGATGTATGTTGAAGCATCTCCATAGTACGACTTGTTCTGCGCAAAGACATGAGCTTCGAGAGCTGCTTCGCCACGACCTAAACTGAAGAAGGCCGGCACAACCCCTTCTTGAATCAGGAGGGCCGACGTCACCAGTCGTGCTGTCCGGCCGTTGCAGTCGCGCCAGGGGTGGATCCACCCCAGAAAAAGACCGGCTTGCAGCGCCACCACCACCCTGTCGGCACACCTCTTGTGGTGAAGTCTTCGGAGCCACTGGAGGAATGAGTCAACAAGCGCAGGCACCTCGATCCCCAAGGGCGGAACCGTATCCTCTCCGTGGCCCATGTGCTCGGTCCTCGCGCCAAGCTGCGGACACACAACCGAGTGCAACTGGTAGAGCAACTCTGGGGTCCACTCCCCCACATCAAGCCAAGCCAACTCCTTTAGCACAAAGAAGAGACCCCTAGCAAACCCAGTGACCACCCCGGTCTCACCAAACAGAGCCTCTGCTTCCTCACTGTCGGCAGTTCGGAACGCGAAAGTCATCCCATCCCAAACATCGGGTAGCGACGCGGGGATACGCTCGATTTCGAGTAGCTGGTGTGCCAGCTGCACGGCCAAGGTAGCTGTGCCCTCCAGAGACTCCACAACATCTCGCAAGGCTCGCCCTTTCCGCCGCAATGTGGTGGTTGACGCCTGTGTGCCCAAGGGCTGCGAGAAGTGGCGGAATGGGCAAACCTTCAGCGAAAAGTGGCCGCTGGCAAGCTTGCACATCGATACTGGGTCTGCCTCCACGCAATAAACCGACGGCTGAGACGGACGGAGGAATGGGCGACCCATTTGCCAGTATGGGGCCCCCATCTTGAGCTCCCCATGCCGCGATGTGTGCGCGCAAACCCTGCGCTGGCGAAGGTGCGTGGCGCCGCTGCAGTAGTCCTTTCCCGTGCGAAGGTCCAGCCGAACGTGGCACTCTATCCGCGACCAAGCTGTGTCGTTAAGATTGCGAGCCAGGCACTGGTGGAGGTACGCTTGCTGCTGGATGAGGTGGTCAATGTTGTCTGCAGTGGCGCCGCCCGCGATGAGGGCCAAAACAAGTTTCATGAAGACCGAGGGTGCCATCTAGCGACGGGGTCACTGAGCAGGAGGCTGCAGTCAAGACTCTCCACACAGAAGATAATGAGCAAGTGGTTTGCTTTTCTATTGAGGTTGGGGCTTTAGGGCCTTTAGGGTTCTGGGCTTCTTGAGCACTCTCAAAAGCGCCCCGAAACGCCAAAACCCGGCCCGCGACCCCAGCGTGAAGGGTGAAATCCCCAGCCCGCGACCCCAGCGTGAAGGGTGAAATCCCCAGCCCGCGACCCCAGGGTGAAGGGTGAAATCCCCGGCCCGCGACCCCAGGGTGAAGGGTGAAATCCCCGGCCCGCGACCCCAGGGTGAAGAGTGAAATCCCCGGCCCGCGACCCCAGGGTGAAGGGTGAAATCCCCGGCCCGCGACCCCAGGGTGAAGGGTGAAATCCCCGGCCCGCGACCCCCAGGGTGAAGGGTGAAATCCCCGGCCCGCGACCCCAGGGTGAAGGATGGTGAAGGGTGAAATCCCCGGCCCCCGACCCCAGGCAGGGTGAAGAGTGAAATCCCCGGCCCGCGACCCCAGGGTGAAGCGGACTCCCCCCACGCCAGCCGCCAGCCCTGTAATGTACCGCGCTCGATTTCGCAGATCTTTTGTGCTGGCGGGAAAGCTCTTTTAACTTTGTGCTGGAAAGGAAATTTTGCCAAAAAAAACCTTGGCAATTTCCTATGCCAGCAACGTCATGTTGCAGTTTGGGGCTCTGCGTGGCATCCTAAACTAAACCCCAAAAGATCGCTTTCACCCCGGCCTCCCCCGCCCAGGAGTTTCACCTTCACCCGGCGTCCCCCCGCCCAGGAGTTTCACCTTCACCCGGCCTCCCCCCGCCCAGGAGTTTCACCTTCACCGCGGCCTCCCCCCGCCCAGGAGTTTCACCTTCACCCGGCGTCCCCCCGCCCAGGAGTTTCACCTTCACCGCGGCCTCCCCCCGCCCAGGAGTTTCACCTTCACCCGGCGTCCCCCCGCCCAGGAGTTTCACCTTCACCGCGGCCTCCCCCCGCCCAGGAGTTTCACCTTCACTCGGCGTCCCCCCGCCCAGGAGTTTCACCTTCACTCGGGCACTCAGGTGAGGGAAGAGGTCCTAAAGCGCTCAGGGCCTCAGAGCGCTTGCAGTTTGTCACTCAGAGCGCCTGGCGCAAAGCAAGACGGCTGCCAAACCTGGGCACGGGAGGCTTGGGAGGATGCGCGTGTGCAAACAGGTCAACTGCCAGGCAAGAATTTGGGGAAGAGGGGTTTCAGAGCAACGCGTGCAGAGAGCTAACAAACAAAGGGCAGGACTTGCAGCGAAAACGAAGGTCACGATGAGCACCTGGCCGCACTCTAGCTTACGAGGGAAGGCGGGGTTCAGCGCAAGGCAGTCCTGAGCATGCACAGACCAGACCTCACTGCCTCGGAGCCCACTTGCCTGCCAACAACCCCTGAACCCCGAAACCTTGCAGTCAGAACCTCGCTGCCTCAGAGCCCCAACCACCTGCAACCGCAACCCTGAACCCTCTGCAGTCTCCGGCGTTCGTCAAAGATGAAGATGGCGAAGGGGACCTGAACGTAAGTAAACAAGGGGCGCAAGGCACTCTAGAATTACAGGAAGGGGGCGCGCAAGGAACTCTACAATCACAAGAAGGGAATTGGCAGCGCAACACGAGACAACCTCACTGCCTCGCCCCAACACACCTGCAACTCCCTGAAGCCTTGCGGCACGCAAACTTGCAGACCTGGCTGCCTCAGAGCCCCAACCGCCTGCAAACTCGAAACACCCCTGAAGCCTCTGTAGGGCCCGGCGCTTGCTCACTACCTCCCTGTGTCAGGGCTTGTGTGCTTGCTGCGTTCTTTAATTGTGGTAGCTCGGCTCCCTCTTCGGAATCAAAGTATTGTTTCTCCGTTGCCTGTTCATGCTGTCGCGCTCCTGCATGCCAAAAGCAAGAGCAAGAAAACCAAGCATGCCATGCCAAGAAATCAAGCAAAACTCCTGCAAAATCACGCCAAATCAAAAAATCATGCCAAAACCAAAAAAAAACATGCAAGCCGCTCCAAAAATCCATGCCAAAAACAAGCGCAAAACATGCAAAACCACGCAAATACCATACCAAAATGCAAGTAACCCGCATGAAATGCACTTTAGGGGTTCTTTTTGGGAGAACCTGGGGGGGTTTACTTGCGCTGAGGTGTCGTCGTCGTCGTCGTCGTCGTCGTCGTCGTCGTCGTCGTCGTCGTCGCGTCGTCGTCGTCGTCGTCGGGACCCTGGGGCTGCAGAACGCCCGTTCAGCCCAACCTACATCCAGGCACCCGTGCTCGGACAACGGAAAATGCTTGCCCCCTACTATAAAAACCGCCAGCAAAATGCAAACCTCAGCCAACATTGTCGTGGACAAAGCGGCGCGCCTTGCGAATGGCAGCACCATCCTGCCCGTCAAGACTCTCACAGGCCCCCTCACCTGGATGTCTGACAACTACCTGCGAGTTTTGTGGAAGCCCACCCCCCACCCAGAGGCCCGCGACCCAAGACGCGCCACCATCTCTTTGGAAATCACCCCCGAAATCAAGCAGCATTTCGAAAATCTGGAAGCGGAAGTGCAAAAGCAGATTCCGAGCCAGCCCCTGCCTAACGGCAAATACCTGACGAGCTACGACCTCCGCGACAAATGGTGCTCTTGCCTAAAGCAGACGCAACGCGGCATCGAGTACCTGAAAGCCAAAATCGACTTCGGAAAAGCGCGCTTCTTCGAAGATTTCCTGCCGACCAAGGCCACGCCCGAAGACCTGGAAAACAGGACCGTGCGCGTGCTAGCGCGGGTCCGACTGGTCTGGGTGGCGCCCGCCCAGGTGGGCCTGTCCCTGGAAGTCTCCGACGTCATGCTGGGCCCGAAGGCCGAAGATGACCTGTCCTGTCCCTTTATGGCTGCCTAAACCAGGCCCCGAAGCGCCCACCGAAGCTCGTCGGACCAGCCCCCCCTGTTGGTCCGCCCTTTTTTTTTGCCGCCGCTTGAAGCAAAACCCACACGGAAAACATGGCATCACTTGCACGCCAGCAAGCGCAGATACGCGCGGCCATCGCCGCGGGCGCCCGCCCGCGCACCACCGTGGCTGGAGCCACTGTGCTGCCCGTTGCACGCGGCGCAAATGGCGCGGGCTTCGTCTTCCTCGCTCAACCGGACGGCACAACGACGCCGCTCGGGAGCTTCTACTACCGGGAGACTGGCGCGCGCCCGCCCACCAAGTGGTTGGACTTCGGCCAGCCACTGATCCGGGAAGGCCCCAACGACTACGTGCTCTTGCGGAACGGCCTCAAGCGGCTTGTAAGGAGCTTGCAGCAGGATGGCAAATTTCACTTGACGGGGCTGGGGAAGGTGTTCTTCCAAGACAAGTTTACAGAATATCTGGCCCACGTGCCGGTGATCGTCCGCGGCACGCGCAGCAGTGGCAGGAACGCTGGCCGGGCCTACGAGAGGCCCGACATGCTGCCAGTCAACACACTGGGACTCCGGCGGACGCGCCTGAACGACGCTCTGTCGCAGCAAGAGATCCTGGCCCGCATCAAGCAAGACGTCTTTGCCCAAGGACTGGCCGGGCCACCCTTCCACGATGGCCAAGGCAACAGAATCATCATGGAGATGAGCGAAGAAGTCTACTACTTGGACAATTCTCGAGACTGGGTCGTCTCTGCTCAATCCACGCAATACATCAACGACGAGGTCCGGGTGGAAACCATGCTGAACCAGCGCCTGGCAAGAGTCCGCGACATCTCCTTCCAGCTTTTCGCCAGCCACGAAATCTTGGACGAGGCCTTTGAGCCCTACATGGACGACCTGTGCGTTCCAAGGCAGCTGTCCATCCTGCTGAAGCTGCCGCTGGAAGAGGTTTGCAGCGACTTCGACGCCATCGTCGAAGGCACGGCCTGGCGCACAGAGGGCATCAGCCCAGCAGAGATACGGGAGTTCTGCGAATGGCGCAACGCACCAGTCTTCCTCTTGGACCCCGACGGCCACGTGCTGGACAAATTCGAGCCTGCCGTGAAGGAAGCTCGGGCCCTGGCCTACGTGGCCTTCAACGGGCACGCATACTTCTACAAGTCTGCCAAGGTCATCACGGGCGGCGGCCTGGACGAAACGGTGATGTACAGGCACGAGCGGCGGGAAACACAGCAGCTCCCACCGAAAAGCGAGTGGAAAGAATGGCAACCCGGCCAAGAGCCCGAGAGCGGCATCTTTTGGACGACGACGGATCTGACGAAGATCCGCGCCCAGCTCCTCGCAGCCGGACACAGCCCTCGAGTTATGCTCAGATCCAGCGTGGAGTACTCGGCCCTGAAACTTCGCATCAAGAAGGGCGAGCCCTGCATCATCCGAGGGTTGCCAGAAGAAGCCGAAGTGCTAGAGCAATGGCTTCAGAAGCTGCCACTGAACACACCTTACCGCGGGCAGCGAATGGCAAGTCTTGCGCACGAGGTGCTCATGCAGTTGATCAAGGCGGAGCGCAAGCAGCCGGACGCAGAAGCGAGGAAAGCTGTACTGGAGCAGCAGAACGCGCTGTGCAACTTGTGCGGGGCTGAAATCCAGCTAGGGACCTGCGAGCTCGACCACGTAGTGCCAGTGCACCAAGCATTCAGCGACGACGAGCAAGTTCTGCAAGCACTGTGCCTGGAGTGCCACAGGAACAAGACGCTGCTGCAAACCATCCAGCCCACAAGCTTGGAGTCGCGCTTCAACCCTCGAGCCTGCGAGGCCTATCTATGGAGCCCAAAGCTGCCTCCGTTGGTGTTCGAGGTTCATACCCCTCGCAAACGCGTGCCTTGCCTCGGCATCGACGTCGTGCGGTGCCGCAAGAACGGGCTGGCGAACGCCAGCTTCCCGCTGCCCATCTTCTGCTGCCTGGATGACGTTAAAGCCGCGCGGCCGGGGCACCTAGCCGACCTGACCTACGTAAGCCTGCGCATAGACCGCCGCGCGACGACCTACTCGCAATTGCCCTACGTGGGCGAAGGCTGGTACGCCAAACCTATCACCGCGTTCATGCTTGACACGGGCATGGCTACGTGGGACGACTTCAAGTACTCCTTGGACGCGACTGCGCATGTGACAGCCGAGTGCTTCCACAAGGCGCTGGACATCATGGAGCAGGCGTGGCCTGACGGCGAAGAGCACTACGCGAAGCTTTCCGTAAATGCGCTGATAGGCTTGTGGGCTCGCAACATGGACGTGGTGTACACCGTGCGGACCAGCCAAAACGAGCTCGACGGCTATGGGTGCCAGGAGCGGCGCGTTTTCAGCATCTCTCCATATGATCTGCAAACGGATGAGGAGAGGATTGAGACGATCGCAAAGCAAAAAGCCGCAGCCGAGCAGAAGGTCAATGCAGAGATCGAGGCGGAGAAGATCGAGGCCGCAGCCGAGCAGACTGAAGTGGAGAAGGTGGCCGAAAGGCGAAGAGTTGAGACGAAGCTTGAGGAGGCCTTAAGGCAGATTAGGCAAATAGATGACAAGCCACTTGCACAATACTGGGACTTCGTGTTTATCCGAAATCTGATGAGCAACGCCAGCCACAGGCCGCTGCACGACTTTGTGCTGGCGGCCGAGTACGTGGCCGTCGCAAGGATCAAGCATCAGCTGCGGGCCGCCCTACCCTCCTACATCAAATGCGTCAAGACTGATTGCGTGGTGGTCCAACAGCTGCCGAAGAAACACCTGCATCTGCTGCAAGAGCTCCAGGACCTCAAACATCCCGACGGCAGTCAAGTCTACCGAGTCGAGGAAGTCAAGCCGCTGCGAGGACTTTACAGAGAGCCACAGCTTCCAGAGCACGCCATTCCTCCCGAGCTTGAATGGACGGACATCCCCGATCCCTTGACGCATTGTTTGGCAGGAGGCTCCCTGCTTCTCACAGGTTTCCCAGGCACTGGCAAAACCTACCTGGCTAGGCGCATCGTCGCAGCCTTGCGGGAACAAGGCCAAGCGGTGCACATTGTGGCCAAGACGCACTGCGCCGTGCAGAACATCGGCCAGGGGGCCCGTACGGCCGACCACTGGCTCAGAAGGTTCGTGCGCCACGGAAACATTCGCCTGATTGATTGGCTCGTGGTCGAAGAAATCACGCAGCTGGACACCGCCCTCTGGAACGACATCGCCTGCCTGGCACTGAACACCCGGGTCCGCTTCCTGCTGCTGGGCGACTTCCGCCAACTGCCTGCGGTGCTAGACAGCTTTGCCGGCACGGAGGTTCTGCGTGAGCTCCGGCAAGCACAGCTGATCAATACGCTGACGCGGGGTTACCGGCACGAGCTGGTTGAGAACAGACGTAGCGACCCAGGCATCTTCAATTTCTTGCGCTGGCTGCGCATTGATGAGCCGGGCGAGGTGTCGCTCAAAAGCGCGCTCCAGCGGGCTTGGGCGCAGTTTCCGGAAAGGGACGCCGTTGTGCCAGACACTGCCTTAGTAATAAGTCACCGGCATCGCATTCAGTTGAATGAATGGGTGAATCGAGTCAAAGCCCCTGATGGAGCCACGCACTTCCAACACTCCCCCGCCGAAAACGCAAAGAATTTGACCAATAAGCCACAGTCCATGCGAATCTGGCCGGGCATCCGACTGCTGGGGGCAGGCGGCAAGATCTGCAAAGGCACCTTTGTTACGGTTAAGACATGCTGCGACGCCGCCGTGGAGCTAGAGGATGGGACGGAGCTCGCGCGCGACGACCTCTTCAAGTACACGCGCCTGCCACACGCCCTCACGTACGCAGGCTGCCAGGGCCTCACCCTTGCCGGGCACGTGGTGCTCTGTGACACTTACAGCAAACACTTCACGCTCAGGCACCTCTATATGGGGAGCTCCAGAGCCACCCGCTCGGACCTCCTGTCTGTGCGAGTGTGGTAAAACAAGATATGATCTCGTCCGACCAGGAGCCCCTCCGCCCGGCGCCTGCCATGACGCTCGCCGAGTGCGTCGTGTGCAACGGCCTCGTCGTGTTTGCCTGGTACCTCTGCGACCCATTGAAAGAAGATGAGGCTCCTTGAGCTCTTCTCGGGCACGGGGTCGATCGGCCGGGCCTTCCGGGACAGGGGCTGGGAGGTCGTTTCCGTCGACCTGGACCCCAAATTCCGCCCCACCGTCTGCTGCGACGTCATGGAGCTCGACGAGGGCTCGCTGGGGCACTTCGACATGGTGTGGGCCAGCCCCGTGTGCACCGAGTACTCGCAGGCCCTGCGCAAGCGGCCCCGGGTCCTGGCGCGGGGGGACCGCCTGGTGCTGCGGACCCTGGAGATCATCCGCAACCTGCGGCCGCGGTGGTGGGCCATGGAGAACCCGCAGACGGGGCTCCTGAAGACTCGCCCCTTCATGCAAGGAATTCCCTTCTCGGACGTCTGTTATTGCAAGTACGGGTACAATTATAGGAAGGCCACCCGGATATGGCACAACCTCCCCTGGAGCCCTCCGAGGCCATGTGCCGCAAGGGCAGCCGGTGCGCGGCCTTCGAGGACGGCATCCACCCCGAGGCCGCGCAGCGTGGAACCACCGCGGGACGGCGCAACCAGCAGTCGCAGGCGCAGCTCTATAGCATCCCTCCCAGGCTCTGCGACGAGCTCGCCGCGGCGGTCAGCGCCTGACCGGGAAATGTAAAGAATGGGCAAGGTGAAGCTCTTCCCGAACCCCGAGTACACCTCGAAGCAGCCGCGGGACCCGATAGTGCCCACGGTGCCCTGCACGGGCATCTTCCTGGGTCCGAGCCGCTCGGGCAAGACGGTGGCCCTGATCAGCGCCATCCTGGACCAGTACCGCACGGCCAGCGGGGAGTCCGTCTTCGAGCGCATCTACATCTTCTCGCCGAGCATCGAGATCGACGACGTCTGGCAGCCCGTCAAGGACTTCATAGAGAACGACATGGGCGTGAACACCGAGCGGGAGCAGGTCTACTTCGACAAGTGGGACGAGGGGGCCCTCAGGACCATCATCGAGCAGCAGAAGAAGATCACGCGCACCAGCAAGCGCCTGGGGCTCAAGAAGCTCTTCCAAGTCTTGGTGGTCATAGACGACTATGCGGACCAGCCGGAGCTGCACCGGAAGATGGGCGACGGGGCGCTGGACACGCTCTTCATCCGCGGCCGCCACATGCAGATCAGCACCTGGGTGTCGTCCCAGAAGCTGCGGCTCATCAGCGCCGCCGTCCGGGTGAACATGCAGTTCATCTGCATCTGGAGGCTCAGGAACCAATTAGAGCTAGAAGCCGTTCTAGAGGAGCTATCGGCCCTGCTCCCGAAGCAGGAGCTCCTGGCGATGTACCAGGAGGCCACGAGGGAGCCCTACAGCTTCTGGTTCATCTACTACCTGAAGCCCAAGGCGGAGATGTTCTACAAGCGCTGGGAGGAAAGGTTCCTGGTCGATGGGCAACCTGCTGGCGGCGGCGTGCAGCAAGCTCCTGGGGGGCGGGCCGATCATCGAAAGTGAGTGCAGCAACATCCGCTGCTGCTCCAGCAACCCGAACGTCCACGACCCGCAGGGCCAGCCCCGCCGTAAGAGGAAAAGCATGGCGACCGTCTACGTGGACTCCCGGAGGCGGGTCTCGGGCTCGGACTCCAACTTCGCGTTCGAGCTCCCGGAGACGCTGCACATGCAGACGAGCGCCAAGCTGGCCGTCTACAAGGTGCGGATCGCGGACGCCTTCCTGAGCACCGACAGGGGCACCTACCTCTACTGGATCGACGTGGCCCTGGGGACCCTGAACACCGCCCAGCTCCATGTGGGCGCCTACACCGGCACCCGGCTCGCGGCCTGGATCTCCTCGAACTTCGCGGCGGCCACCTACGTAGAGGCGACGAACGCCATCGAGGTGGCCCACGACGGCAACCGGCGCATCCTCTCGGACGCGGAGCTGCGGGACCTCTTCCCGAGCGGCCCCGGCTATCCGGCGGGCGCCTCGGCCGCCTTCCCGCAGAGCATCAACCACCTCCTGGGCGGGAGCTACATCGACGGGGCCCTGCAGATCTTCCCCTGGGTCTCCATGAACCCCTTCAACGAGGTCTACCTAAGATGCAGAGAGCTGGGCAACGCCGCGCACATCCTGGGGCCGCTGGGCACCGACATCATCTGCAAGGTCATCGTGGACAAGGGCGTGGGGCACGTGATGAAAGATCAAACGGACGACGGCCACCTAGTGGAGCTCCGGGGCCCGATCACGCTCCGCACGCTCAACTTTAGGCTCACGGACGTGGACGGCAACGAGGTGAACACCCGAGGAACGTCCGTGAGTTTCGCCATTTTCCTCGACCCAGACAAGTGATTTTCGGCAATAAATAAAATGCCGGAGGATGAGCAGCCCGAGCCCGCGGCTCCGCAGGCAAAGGGCGACGCGGCACCTGCCGAGCCCGAGCCCGAGCCCGCCCCCGGGCCCGCTGCGGCGCCTGCTGCGGCTCCTCCTGCTGATCCACCTGCCCCTGCCGAGCCTGGGCCTCCAGCTGTGCCCCTGGAGGCCGAAGCCAAGCCCGCCGCCAAGCGCAGAGGCCGGCCGCCGGGCAGCAAGAACAAGCCGAAGCCCCCTCCGGCCACCGTCCCCGCCGACCCTGGCCCACCTCGTGAGCCGGAAGCGCCGGCGCCAGTTCCTGAGGAGCCAAAGCGGGAGCCCGCGCAGCCGGTCCGGATGACGGCCGCCGAGGAGAAGATGATGCACAGGCAGCACAGGCTGAACCGCTTCGAGCAGCTGGCCATGCGGAACAGCATGGACCTGTGATCCGAACCCCCCAGGCTCCCCGATTTACACTTGTAAATTACGTAAATTTGTCAAATTCCTGAACGCTAGCCCGGCCGGAGCTAGACGGGGACCCGGGCTCCCGACCCGGATTTACCTTGTCAATTTACGTAAATCTGTCAAATTCGCGAACGCAAGCTCCGAGCATAGCATTCAGGAATTTGACAAATTTACGTAATTTACAGGTGTAAATCGGGGAGGGCCGGAGAGAGTCTCCCGCTAGCTCCAGCCGGCTAGCATTCAGGAATTTGACACATTTACGTAAATTGACAGGTGTAAATCCGAAGGGCCCCCCGGGCGGTCGTGGCCTCCAGCCGGGGCTAGAGATAAAGCCACCATGATGCCCCTGGAGCGCCGCAACGAGCCCCAGATGCTCAGGAGCTTCTGGAGGAAGTATCCCAGCTACAACCTCAACCCGCTGCTCCACAAGCGCTACAACGAGCTCCTGGAGGCCCGGGCCTTCAACAAGTGGCTGGACGAGCGCAGGACGCGCCAGGAGGGCGAGGAGTACACGGACGCCGTGGGGCGCCTCACGGAGGCCGTCAACCGCAGGGTGCCCCAGCTGCGCTACGCGCCCGCCGAAAGGTCGGGGGTGCGGCGGGTGGCCCGGGACGTCGCCGCCGGCCGCAACACGACGGACAGCGGCGTTTACGGCGGCATGCTATAAACGACACATGGAGGAGCGGCGCCAGTACGGCTTCAGGGTGCACCCGAACTTCGGGCAGGTCCTGGGCTACATCGAGGAAGGGGAGCCTCTGGCCCTGGGCCTCCCGAACCGGAATGCGAGCGTCTACATGAGCTCGCACTTCCGCCTGGACGACTTCCCGGCGTCCAGCGAGCCTCTGAGCGACGAGCCGCTCCCACACACCCACGTCAACCCCGCGGAGGCCTTCGAGGACGCCCGGGACGAGGGCTACCGGGGAGAGCCCTTCCCGCGGAGGGACTTCCTGCCCCCCAGGGGCGGACCCCGGGCAGGCCCTGAGGCAGGACGGCCTGGCGCCGCCGCCGGCGCCGAGCCTCTCGGACCGCCTGCTGGGAGGGCGGACTACAAGCTCGCAACGAGCAACGTGAACTACGTTCAAAGCAGAAGAGACGTGCAATACTTCCCGAGCTCCCTGAGCACCTTCACGCCGACCACCAGCCGCGTGGCCAGGATCCCTCTCACCAGCGGCATGGATTTCATCGACCCTGAGAGCGTGAAGATCGCCTTCCGGGTCCGCAACAACGACGGCACCGGCGCGGTGTACCCCGGCTCCTTCGAGGGCAGCTGCTTCATCAAGCGGGTGCAATTGTATAGTAACGGGCAACGTACCGACGACATCACCAACTACGGCCGCAGCTGCTGGCTCTACAGCCTGCTGAAGCCGCAGGAGTGGTACAACGGCAGGGCCTTCGAGGGCTTCTTCCCCACGAACGTGGGCAACCCGCCCGCCATCCTGGCCGGGAACTTCAAGGACGTGCTCATGCCGCCCACCCTCATCGGGCTCTTCCAGTCGGGGAAGATGCTCCCGCCGCAGCTGAACCTCGTGCTGGAGATCGAGTTCGCGGAGGCCGCGGACGCGCTCTGGCCGGGAGGGGCCGGGGTCACGGACTACAGCATCGAGAACGTGCGAGTGCTGGCCTCCCAGGTAACGCTGGACTCCGCCCTCGTGGAGTCGTTCAACAAGGTGCTGCTCTCGGGCCGCAGCCTGGTGTTCAGCTACCCAACGATGCACACACAGGTCTCCAACATCCCCGCGGGCTCCTCCAGCCACAATGTGACGGTCGCCCGCGCGTACACCAAGCTCATGGGAGCCTTCGTGACCTTCAAGGACGCCGACGACGCCCTGGGCGAGGTCATGAACCTGGAGTACCCTGCGATCAACGGGCAACTGGAGAGCCAGATGCAGCTGGGCGCGCTCACTTACCCCCGGTACCCGATGGCCAGCCTGGCGGAGCACCACCACTTCCTGGAGATCATGGCGGGGGCCTACGACTCCAAGATCAAGAACATGCGCCTGAACCGCCTGGAGTTCGAGGACACGCAGTTCGTCGCCGCCTTCCCGGTGGAGCGCGTGCCGAAGCACCCGCTCTCGGGCATCTCCACGCGCTCCGGCGACCTCGCCAGGTTCACCTTCAAGAACCTCCAGCCGGACCGCGCCCAGCAGCTCTACATTCATTTGGTTTCGTACCAGATCGTTACGTTGTCGGGCGCCGGTGTGAGCGTGCTTGACTGAGAGTATAAATGCTCTTCGAATCCACCATCACCGGCGCCATCCTCAACGATGGCCAGACGACCGAGACCAGCGGCATCACCGCGGGGCAACTGGCGACCGTTTTGACGGCCTACACGCCCCTCACGGACACCGTGGCGAACACCACGAGCATCGGCACCAACTCGGCCGCCGTGGCCGCCCTGCAGACCCAGGTGGCCGCCATCCCGCCGCCGCCCGACCTGGCGCCCTACGCCCTGGCCGCTAATCTTGCGGCCGCCGAGGGCTCCATCGCCGCCAACGGCTCCTCGATCACCGCCCTGAACAGCAGTTTGACTACCGGGCTAGCGGGGAAGGCGAGCCAGGCGGCCCTGGACACCCTGCAGCTCGAGGTCAACGGCAAGAGCACCCCGGCCTCCGTGGACCTAAAATTGGCGAACCACCCCACGACGGCGGCGATGAACTCTGCGATCGCTAGCGCCGACAACGCGGTCCTGGCCACCGTGGCCGCGACCTATGGGCTCAAGACGGTCACCGACCAATTGGCCATCGACGTGGCCGCCCGCCAGACCGCCGCCGACGTCTCTCAGGCCATCGGCACCGCGCTTCTGCCCTACACGGACACCACGGGCCTCAACGCCGCGGTGGCCCTGCGGACCACGCCCGCGGACGTCGACCAGAAGGTGGCCACCGCCCTGCTGCCGCTGGTCACCCAGGTGGCCTTGGACGCAGCCCTGGCGATCAGGGACGGAAGGCTCGGGCTACCAGACGGCGGCCCAGGTCTCGAGCGCCATCGCCACCGCCTTGGTGGGCTACGCCACCACCGGCGACCTGCTGAATTACGCCACGTCGGCGGACCTCACCGCCGCGGAGACGAGCCTCCAGAGCGCGATCGACTCCATCCTGGCCCAACTGGCCGTCCTGAGCTCCGGGGCCAACAATCTGATCAACGCTCCGGCCTGGCCGGGCGAGGTGACCTGGGACCTGATGATCAGGAACCTGCACTTCACCGCGCCCCTGTCCGCCAGCCTGCCCGTGGGAGCCGGAGGGCTCACCCTGAGCGTCGCCTGCGACTCGTATTCCAAGGCGGAGTCCGACGCCAACCTGGCGGCCGCGCTCGTGCCGTACTACACCTCGGCCCAGACCGATTCGGCCATCGCAGCCGCCCTGGTGTTGTATTACACCTCCGCCCAGACGGATGCGGCCATAGCGGCCGCCCTGGTCCCAGCACGACCGTGCAGATGGACGCCGCCATAGCCGCAGCCCTGGTGCCCTACTACACCTCGCTCCAGACGGATTCGGCCATAGCCGCGGCCCTGGTGCCCTACTACACCTCCGCCCAAACGGACGCGGCCATAGCAGCAGCCCTGGTCCCGTACAGCACCACGGTCCAAGTGGATGCCGCCATCGCGGCGGCGCTGGTGCCGTACTCGACCACGGTCCAGATGGACGCGGCCATCGCGGCGGCGGTGGGCGGAATCGACCTCTCGGGGTACTACACGGCGGTGCAGACGGACGCGGCCATCGCGGCCGCCCTGGTGCCAGTGACACTCAGCAACGCTCCCGCCTGGGTCGGGAACACCACCTGGGAGCTGCTCAAGGGCACCAACGTGCTCCGAAACCTGCACTTCGCGGCGCCGACGTCCGCCAGCTTACAGAACAACACCGACACGCTCTCGGTGTCCATCGACCTGAGCGACTACGTCCCCTGGACCGGGCTTCAGGCGCCCATCATCAACGAGATCAACATCGCCCTCACGGACTACTGGACGCAGACGGAGACCAGCACCGAGATCGCGAACCAAATCGCGGCGGCGGGGCACCTCACGCAGGCCCAGGGCGACGCAAGGTACTTTCCGACCAACGCCGCGCCCGACGGCGGGGGCGCATATGCGCTCATGCTCGACATCTTCACGCCCCGCATGCTCAGAAATTTGCTGCCGAGGGCGCCCCTGAGCATCACGCCGCTCTTCACCAACGGGCGCACCCTGGAGCTCGAGGTGGACTGCTACTCCAAGAGCGAGTCCGACTCCAGGTACTTCCCGGTGAACGCGGCCCCGGACGGCGGGGGAGGCTTCGCCCTCATGGTCGACACCCAGACGCCGCGGCTCATTCGGAGCATCATACCCCGGGCGCCGCTCAACGTGACCGTGGCGGGGGGCAACGGAGGCACCCTGGACATACAGTGTGACGCCTACTCCAAGTCGGAGGCGGACAACCGCTACTTCTCGGTGAATGCGGCTCCCGACGGCGGGGGCGCCTACTCGCTCATGCTGGACATCTTCACGCCCCGCATGATGCGGGCCATCCTGCCCAGGGCTCCGCTCAGCGCCACCCCGCGCCCATCAGCACGCAGACCACCGCGGACAGTAATTTCCTGGCGATTCAGGCCATCGACACCAGGGTGACGGCGCTCGAAGGAGGCAGCGGCGTGCCGGCCAACATCAGTTGCACCAGCCTTACCGCGAGTAGTTTCGTGAACACGCTGAATTTCACGGCCACGGGCAACACCACGGGGGTGGACGCCCTCTTCACGGTGGACGTGCAGACGCCGCTATTGCGCGCCGTCGCCGCGGACGGCTACCTGCACCTCGGGGGCGGGACCGTGGGCACGCAGATCCTGGACAGCGCGGCCGCCGTGGTCGCGGAACTGACCAGCACCAACATCGCCCTGGAGCAGGACGTGGCGGTGGCCCAGACCAAGACTCTGACCTGCGCCAGCATCGCGACCACATCCGGCGTGGCCAACCTGGCGGTGCAGGGCGGCACGCAGGGCATCGTCTGCACCTCCAAGGGCCTGAACGTCACCGAAGCCTTTCCGCTCTCGGCCATCCCCACAGACGGCACCGTGGCCGTCAGGGTGGAGAACACGGCCCCCACGGGCTTCGCGGCGCTCGAGATGAGCTCCAACGGGGGCGCGGGCTTCGCCACGCTGGACGTCGCCGCGGTGGGCGGCTCCACCCTCTACGCGCCCAACCAGACCATCACCCTGATGACGGTGCCGGGCAGTCCCAGCTTCGTGGTGAACGCCGACGGCACCATGCACCATCATTACAGCCTCACGGGCACCTCGGACGTCCGGCTCAAGGCCAACGTGCTGCAGACGCCCCAGGCGGAGCTGCAGGCCGTCTTCGACGCCGTCGAGGTCAAGTGCTTCGACAGGGTGGACGTGGGCACGCACGAGATGGGCTTCGTGGCCGACGACGTGGAGGCGGCCTGCACGCCCGAGCTGGCGGGGTGCCTGGTGGGGAGCTTCCACAGCTGGCACCTGGACGACCAGGCCAAGACGCTCTGCTACCAGAGGATGATCTGCGTGCTCTGGGGCGCCGTCAAGGGCCTGCAGGCTCGGGTGGAGGCGCTGGAGGCCGCGTGATAAATGGAGCGGCACCGGGCGGCGCGAAGTGCAATTCAGAAACCTTCAGCAAGAGAGAGAGAGGGTGCTTTAGCGAGGCAGCATTGGAAGGATTACGTTGTGCCAAAGGCCGTTGGATAGCTTTGTGTTTGGCAGCTGTGTTGCAAGTCCGCACAACCATGGGAGACTTGCCATTGGAAAGTTATGGAAATGTGGCTGGGAATCCGATTCCACAAGAATTCACCGTTATAGAGATGAGGTGTACAGAGCAGCTGAAAGACAGCAAGACGGTGAAAAGCTAAAAACCGAAAACTTAAAGCGAAGAATTGCTAAAAGATAGTTAGAAAAGCAAGTGGAATAACGCTGTTTTTCTGGCAAATGGACAGTGGAAAGGCATGGAATTGTTTAAGTGTGCCCAACTGTGGCAAGACAGAGAGAAGTAAGTTTTGTGGTTGTGTGTGCGCGCGGTCCACGTGCGCTTGGCCATGTGCGTAAATGAACATTACGAGGAACCAAAAAAAACGCATGTGGTGGTCTGGTCTGTGTGCTTGCTGCTATGTGGTCTTAAGCTTTGCTGCCTTCTTGCGCGTGCCTGACCTTCGGATGCCCTAGAGCCGCTGATTCTGGCACAGCTGCACCTGCTGGCGCAGTGGGCCAATGCCGATGCATGGCACACGGTGACGCACGCCAGCACGCCAGTTTGCCACTGCAGCGGCGCCGGCGGGACTCTTTCTTGCACGTCTTGCCAGGAACAGCCTTCTGCGGCGTCGACGCCGTTCCAGGTCAGCGTCTCCAAGTCACATTTCTAGCGTCAAAAAGGTGCTATGGCAACCGAACCTTGAGCAAGTTATCTTACTGCATGCCGAGTTGCGTCGCGGTGATCGACGAGCGGCGTCAGATGTCGTGTTCACGAAGGGCGGCGCTTCTCTTGAAATGCTGGTTGCTTGTTGCGCTTGCTTTTGAGAGTCTAGGTACCAGAAGCTTTCGCCGATGCGCTTCAAGGCAACCCAGTGCCGGTTGTGGCGGTTCTGGACAGCCCCGATTGCAGTGCGCATCATCGCGGAGAAGCTGCTTAAAGCACAAAAACAGGTCTTAGCACTGATACTTCTTGCATAGCAAACCAGACTTTAAAGTCGACCAATGTTGCGCTGCTCCAAGGACTGCTACTACCACTGCTACTACTGCTACTACTGCTGCTGCTACTAGTTTTTTTCTTCTCCTACCACCCCCTTCCACACTGCTACTGCAACGGTTGCGCCATCCATAACCACTACAACACCACCACCAAACTGATCTGGCTACAAAATCAAAAAGAGGGGATTAAAAATTAAACTCCACCTTCTTAAATTTTTTGTTTTTGCATTTCATTATTCGAAATTAGAGGAGCAAGAATAAGGCTGCTTTTGTTTCTAAAAGTAGAAAGCGCGGCTTCTTTTTCTTGTAGAGTGGAGGGAAGGAAAGTGGAGAGGAGAAGGGGTATTAAATTCCACCTTGAATCTTGTCTTGTTTTTGTATTTCGAAAATAAGAAGTGGAGACAAGACTGTTTTGTTTCTAGAAACGAAGAGCGGAAGGGAGTTACTCTAAATTCCACCCCTCGTTTTTTGTTTTTGTTTCTTTATTTTATTTTTCGAAAATCAGAGGAGTGGAGAGGTTAGTAGAGGGGAGAATAAGTCTAAATTCCACCATCCCTTTTCTTATCTTGGTTCTTGTGTTTTCTGGAAAGCAGAGCAGAAAGAAGTGGAGATTGCTCAATTTCGTCTGTTCATCTTCGAAACATCAAAGAAGCAGAGAATTACTTTAAGTTTCACCCCCCTCGTTTTTTGTTTTTTTTTTTGTTTCTTGTGTTTGGAAAGAAGAAGTCAAATTCCACCCTCTTGTTTCTTGTTTAGGGTACTTGTGTTCTGTTCGAAAAGTCTTTAGAGAATCAGTCTAAATTCCGCCCCGCTCGTTTCTTTTTGTTTCTTGTGTTCATTACTCGAATATCAAAGAGGCAGAGGGCAAGAGTTGGGGCCGAGAAAGTGCCTTTGCAGTTGTGGTACGTGGTGTAGCGGTGATGCAGTGTGCACGTGTTTTGAAGAGAAGCAAGGAGCCAATGGTATAGTGTTTGTATGTGTTTGTAGTGTTTGGTGTTTCACCCTACTGTCAGATGCCGCTTGAAGACTGATCATTGATATGCGGACGCAGAAAGGATTTCGCCATCAGAAAAAAGCGTGGTGCAGTGTGCTGGTAGTGAGGTGTAGTGCGGTAAGTAGCATGTGGTGCTTGGTGGTGGTGTGGTGGAGTGTGGAGTGTGGTTTTCCTTTAGGCGAGTTCTTTCGCGTAGTGACTGAACCCGGTTCTTGGCCTTGGCTTGCCTCTTTAGTTGTGGGCCTTAACAGATAAAAACTTGCAGGGAGAACGCAACCTGTTGCCTCAGAAGCTTTGGCTCGGGCGGCGGATCTCGGACTTGCGCCGCTACATGACGCTTAAAGTTGGAGAGTTTTGGTGGATTTCGCATCAAATTTGTGAAACAGGTTTTCTTCAGTAGAGTTCTGGCGTCTAGCATACGAGGCATGCCCCGCTATCAAGCGCGATCCAGTTTCAAGGTTTCAGGGAGCTTTTGACAGCGGCTGTGTCATGCAGTTTTGGCGACATCGAGTTGTGAGCTGGAAAGTTTTTGCAAACGTGACCAGCGTTATCACTCTTCACTGCCAATCTTCTTCTTCTTTCTTTCATAACGTGTTCCAAAAAACTTTCTGTATGCCATAAAATTTCTGGTCCATATGACTATTGCTTCTGCATGGTACTTGTGCTGCCATTGTTGTTTGTGCTGGTTACTGTGATTGTTGTCGAAGAGGTCAATGTTCAGTAGGTTCATCATATGTAGGCGTTTTGTATGAAGGAGGCTTTCTACTTTGAAGTGTCATAGCTTGATGTGGTTTGCAATTTTCACGCCAGGCGAAGCTAGGCGAGATGACCCTTTAGGAAGGTAAATGACCGGCGCTCAGCTGATGGCTCATTAGGGCTCAGGAACATATGCTGACACACAAGCGAAGTACAGCTTACAAAAGAATCGGGTTATGTTTCGCCGAAATGCATCTTGTAGGTCTCGGTTGCAGTTCAGTGATGTCCAGTCAACACGCCATGCCTGCTGCGATTACCCGTTGCAACCGTCACCATGTCCGCTTTCCTTTACGAGCCTGACGATGGCCATACGCAGCATACAGCACCTGCTTGCAGGTCGGCTTGGCTGATAGTAGGACGTTCTCCGATAGGTTCAATCGGAAATGACTGAATGACCACGACCTGTTGGAACGACGCCGATTTTGACCAGCTTGGCTCCAAGATTCTCGACATGCGGCCAAAGCTTTCATTAATGCCATAATACGGGCTGTTTTTGTACGGGAAGCGGAAGAGTGCGTCAGTGCCATGACGTATTTCCAGCGTCGGGGACGCGATGACGCAAGGAAGGCAAGATTTGTGAAAAAGACCTTTCAGAGAAACGATAAGTTTTGCATGTGCGATCTGGCTAGATAATATTCGGGACTTGCCGCCTAAATCGCAGACTTCGCTGGTTGCTTTTGTTTGGGCATTGGTCACCGTCAGCCTTCTGTCTGCGTGTGATCGGAAATCCTGTCGCCAAGGGTCAGCACGCTTGTACCATGGCAGCTTGAAGCTTTGGCGGAGAAATCAGGGGGTACTTCGAGGGGAAAACAAAGCATCCTCTGAATATCTCTGAATTCGCAGAACCCTGCCGGTCTTTTTGCGCAGCAGAATTTTTGGAAGGGTGTGCCTTGCTCCTCCAACCTCTTCCCCTTGGAAGAGCAATGGACCAGCAGAAAAAGATGGGAGTTTCTTGAAGCGTTTCCTAACATTACAAAAACCCTTTAAGGCTTTTTGGGGTCCTAGATGAGTAGATCCCGACAATTAGATCCCTATAAAATGCTTGTATTAGTATGGGGAAGGAACTCCATTGGAATTCGTAAGCTTCCTGAGCTTTGCGTTAAAACCAACCCACATCCCTTGAGACGTTGCAAAAGCCCGCGCTTGTGTATCGCGCGGCACGTTGCGATTGTCTTGCAAGCTATGTTCTTCGAAGTCAGTTTTGGCACCTGCACCTCTTGCAACGCCTGCTCTGTGGGCGGCCTGTCAGAAGTAACGCCTCTGGGGATGCGCTTTTCTCTTTCGGAGCGCCTTTTACTTGGTGATGCCCAATCGTCTTGAGCTCCTGGCGGTTGAGTTGGAAGTGCCCAAAGCCACACTGAGGGCCACACGTGCTAAGGTAGCACGAGCATTGCGTGTGTCAGGCCTGCTTCGCGGCTGAAACCGCCAGACTACTGTACCAGACCTTCTGAAGCTTGAGTGCTTATCACTGGCACGCATGCAGCTGCAGGGTCTTGTGGCCTGGGCATGCGCAGAGTTCCTGTACACAAAAGAACTATATGGTCGGTTCCTTTTTTAGTAAGGCTTCCACGTTTAAGAGAGTCTTATCCCATGGTCCATCCCTTTCTAGGACCTCTAGTTTGGTGCTGCTCTCTCCTGAAACGGATAATGCTGTCCTAAGATGCCTGTGGCGGAGTGGTCGCCCATCCCGAAACGGACACGAAACGTGCACCCTCCAGCACGCTGGTCGATGTCAACCACTGCTACCCGCCAAGTACAAGATGATTCAGGCACGTGGGGGAAATCCCACTGCAGCATCGGCAGGGCAGCCCTGTCGCGCATCTTTGCGCGCAATTTTTGGTTGAACCTTGGCATGCTTTGACCCGCAGTTCCACCCGGTGCAGGTCAGAGACGTGTGAGTGCCTTGCGCTCGAGTGCTTGCTGGTTTCGATCTCGGGTCGCCTTCGCGGTTGTATTTTTTGGGGTCACGGTGGTTCAAGGTCTAAGGTGTCACAGGCACGAAACGTATCCCCTAGATGCCCCTGACACTGTTTGCGGAGCAGGTCTCCATGGGCGGGACTCGTGAAGGCCACTAGGTCGGTCACAATTGGTGGTGCGGAGCGGTCCTGGCACTGAGGCACAGTGGCCCGGCCGTTAG